ACAGCACGAATGAAATTTGTAATTGCAATTTTCGTCAACACGCATTGGGAAAGCACGGCGGGCATTTCCTTGCCCTAAAACCCTATCAGAAATAAAAAAAGAGTCCTGTGCCCAGTACAGGGACTTGTATAGCCTATTACTTTACTTTGTAGCAATATTTATATTCGTTTCAGATATAGAAGGGTACCTTATGCTGACAAAAATATCATGTGGAGGCGACGAAAACGTAAAACATCTTTGTACCTAGATAAAACGTTCGAAAGATTGTCAGTCATGTCATACGCCACATTTTCTATAGAGCGTAGAACATTGCAGATAGGGAAAAATAAAAAATAAACCAATATATTATGGGAACTATTTATTAATAATATATACATTTATAGGTATTTATAATAAAAATAATGAACAAGCTGCAAGATTCAACTAATAATGTTTTTTGTAAACACAATCGTAAAATTCCTGTTTTAATTTTTACCAATGGTTAATTGATGAAACGTAGTCAAGATCACTTCATGTAAAATATATTTAATTAAAATTGAAACGTGATCTATTTGGCCTTCTACTTACAACTCGGCGGAAATTTGAAAATAATATTTTGTCTTTTCACACAAGTATTGTTTACAACTGGCGTGGTTTCGAAAAGCGTGATTAAGTGTCAGCGGTATATAATCAATTAAATACTGAACTTTATTGAAATTTATTTTTTTATTTATTTTTGTTATATCTTCTTAAAAACTGACGCCATCTCACTATTTTATTATTTGTTTTTTTTTGTACGCATAAGGATAAATTAGACTGAGTTAGATTAACTTGGATAAGTTTATATTTTTTTTTATTTTATCACAAAATTTCCGCAATAAATTATTACCTTTTCTACAGTGATTCTCTCCTCTTAGTTTCGGCGTGACTGTAGAATGTTATACTGAGTCACCGTCAGTTACTAAGCGGCCATAAATCATTATATGTATGTATAGACATACATATATTATCATTTGCATAAAATTCTAAATAGCACTTTTTACACAAGAAAGTAAACTTTTAGATCAGTCCATTTTGTTTTTCACTAATTAAGTAAAAAGTAAAACAAACCAATAGGGCCGGGAATTAAAATTTCTTGCAACTTTTTATAGAAAAGCATGACCTTATCATAATATAAAAGTCAATCATTTAGCCATGTGATAAAACTTTTAAGTGTGACAGTCAAACATTAATGATGATATTCGGGTCATTATATTGGAAATAGTCTTTTAAATATTTTGTTAAAACTCTACTGGTAAAAAAAAACAAATATATATATATATATATATATATATATATATATATATATATATATATATATATATATATATATGTATATATATTATACTCGTAGTTCTTGATGAAAATAATGTACGCGTTACATCGCATCCCATCAAGAATTTGTAATGTAATTCTTGGTATAAAGCTAAGACGTGATAATAACTGTAAACAATAGAATAACAAAATAATGAAAACATTTACATTTACATACAAAACATTTACAAAAATACTTGCTTTATAACCTTATAAATATTATTTGATCGTAATAATATTATATATTAAACAAGGTAGTCTTGGGCATGAAAGTAAAAATAAATATTTTCGATTATTTTTGCAAAATCTAACAGCCGGATAAGCGGGCGATTCTGATCCATCTAAAGATGCTAAATTTCAGCAAGCACTGTCAAATTCAATAGGAGTGACAGAAAAACGGTTCTTGATATAGAAAGGTAAATAAATTATTTAACCTATAAAGTAAAGTCACTTTATTACAAATCAAAATAGCCCAATAGCTTTATTAACATGAGACATAATTGTACGAGTGCTTACAATACTTAACATTATTTTACTGGAATCTCAGAAAGTTTTTTTTTTAATAGAATAAGGGTGACAAACGAGCACACAGTCCACCTGATGGTAAGTGGTTGCTACGGCCCATACACATCTACATCTATCCTCGATTACGTATCAAAATGTAGATGCGTTGTCACCCGTGAGGACTAAGATGTAATTCCTCGTTTCCAGTAAAAAGGTCCTCCGGTTATCTACACTCACCATACGAAACACAGCAGGGTTAAACTGCTATTTTACATGTTATTCCGTGAGAGCGTGGCCCTTCCCTGGTCGAGCCGACCCATTCATGCTACAACTATACCTAATAAATATAGCTGTAGCATGGCTCTACCACGTAAAAAAAAATTGACGTTGAAAATTTATGTATTTTTAGAAGCAACTTTGCAATTATTTTTTATTGAGTTAATTTTTGTGGAATCGTGTTTTGCAAACCGCCACCTGAAATACGTACAATTTTTTTTCGATAATGACGTGAAATTACAAAACCATCCCCATGCATTTCAATGTGGCTCTATTCTGCCTCTTAATATGAACATACCTCGGATTTCAGAGATAATGGAAGATATAATATTATATTATTACTGTTCCGTGTGAGGTAACCTTTATACTTATATACATATTCTCATCATATTTTTATGGTTGGTTAGAAAAATTATATCTAAATGCAAACTTTCACAGGGTAATTTTTTTTACTATTTTTACCCAGCAAGTAGTAAAGCAATACAATCCCATCGGTAAGTGCTTATGTAGTCTAAGATGGTGAATTGCACTGACTTAACAAAAACCTATTCACTCTTGCCTAATAGTACTAGGTAAGTATTATTTGCGACCTATTTCTGTGTGTGTGCGTGTGTGTGTGCGCGTGCGTGCTTGCGCGCGTGTGCGTGTGTGTGTGTGTGTGTGTATGTGTGAAGAAAAGCGTATGAGAATACGTGAAGAGGAATAAAGGTTTAGTACTAATTCGCTTACCTGTACGAGGTTGCCACTCGAGGACCTTTCTTCCTATTTTTTATATGTTTTCCAAGTTATATAGCTAGCCCATTGCCATTTCACTGTAATATTCCGTTGAGCTATGTCAGTTACTCTGGTTCTAATGCAAATTCCTTCATTTCTAACTTTATCACGTAGAGAAACCCCTCTCCAATTTAAAATTTTTACATTTTTTAGATGATAGTTTGTCTAACAAAAAAAAAACCATTAACCCAAGAATGTCTTTATATAGTTATTTATACTTAGGTAAGCACCATTCTTTTATTTATTTAAATTGTTTGATTTAATTTGATAACAGTGTACCTAAATGTAAGTATCTGTATCTTTATTTCTCTCTCCAATAATATTTTATAAAGTCATACTTATAAAAACAGCGTTTTATTGTAATACATAATTACAAAATTCATTATCAACTTATTAATAAAAATATGCAACAATAAAATTAAATAGGTATTAAAAACTATCGCAATCTAAGTAACGAGAGCATATTCGTCGTTCCACATCTAAATTATATAAAAATGCATTTTTCAATTTCACTAATCAACGTCGCCGCAAAAATTTCTTCTTCTTTGGGCACTTTAAAAATTCATTTATTTAGAAAATAATATTTACAGTTACCAGTGTACAGATATTAACTAAATTAACTATTTCTAGTCATAAAAATATTTATAATTGAGTATAAACTTTTAAAAAACTAATATATATTTGAACGAAGTCGCTCCAACACCGACGTGCAGTCCACCCTCGACGATGTCCGAAAACGGACTGTGACAGAGCTTACATGGCGACGGAGCATGCGCACTCGCGTAAATATATTCAATTTCAGGGAAAAATGATATATTCTCTTATAAAACGGGGAATAAAAATAAAACTCTCAATTAAAAATATTAATATTTTTAAGACCTTTTTTTTAGTGTAAGAACTATTTAAAAAGCTTGTGCCGTTTTGGAGAAATTTTGCAAAATATGACAAAGATAGGTACTCTTTGGGGATTTTTTTTCTAATAAGGGGTTGACAAAAATACAATTTTGTTAAATTAAAAACATTTACCAAATCTTCTTCTGTTAGCCTGTATTTTTTCTTTGTGGATTAAATGAACAGTTATTGAGATTTTTTTACTTAAATATCCTAGATTTAGGCATTTCAACCACTGTTAAGGCCTTAAGGCGTCTTGAGATCTATCACAAACTGTCTGCTGGGTCAGGTTGCCGTCAAAATACCCTCGCAATGTGATGCATCAACATATTGTGAAGCATTCTACTATGAAGAATTATTATCGCTTTATACTGAGATAAATGAAGACATGGTTTAAAAAACAAGCATCCAAGCTAAAAATCTTAATAAAAAAAGCAAACTAAATTAATTTGTAATTTTGGTATACCTTCATCCGCTTGTCCACTGTCTTTTTAATATTTTGTTGAGAATTACAGGACGAATTATATTGAAATTTGACATTGTTTACGACAAATATTAATAAATCTCAATAAATTAGTCAATTTCTGTTGTTAAGATATTTGACCATAATGAGAGATTTTATTTTGACGTTATAAAGGCAAAAGAAGAAAATGGCTGCCGACGACGCAAATATAAGCAATTCTCTTCTAAAACGTAATGTTGTGATCGGTTCGATACTTCAGTAAATTTTTCCAGTCATCTTAATTACGTATGCTGCAATTTGTCAGTCATTTTATTTAATGTCGTTAGTTGTTAACAAGAAGAATAATTGAGATTCGTAATGAATTATTAGTGGAATAAAATTCAATATCCCACAAGGTACAAAAACGACATGGCGGTTTGACTATTGACCAATGAGAAGCCAGCATCGAGCGTTTCTGAATTGCATGTACCTATTCACATTTCGCGTCATTACGATTTTGGTGCCTTCTTTCTTTGATAAAAATTTAGTACTTGTCTGTTATCAGTGAACTGCCTAAATTTCTATTTAAATGTGCAGAAAATTGGTGTAAATTTCCTTACAGAAGTTGTGACATACGTTTTATTATGTGCATCCTAAGCTACTGGGACCATGAATGCTTTAGATTTAGGATGAATCTAAATAGGTACATGGTTTTGTTTTTGTAAACAAAATGTGTTTGCAATACACGTGCGAAATAGTACATAATTGACAGTTGGTTATAATGATGTCGGGAAGAGGGGCGAAAAAACGCGGGAGGCCCCCAAAATCTGGAAATATTGAAAAAAATAGAAAATTTCAATTTCATCTTTTGAAAAAACCAAAATATTTACAATCGCAAAATGTTGGATCTGGCTCCCTTGCTAGTACACCATCAGCATCCAGAGCGTCGTCTCCCCAAGGAAGCGATATAAGTAGACGTAGTACTAGGAAACAAAGAGGTGGAAAAACTCATAAAAGTAAAAGAGGTGGTTTATCCAATGCTTATTCCCGAAGAGGATATAATCCACAAGCGGCTGATTTTCATGAATCGGAATATCACTATGGATCCGATTTTGGGGATGATTTTAGTGATAGATCCGATCCAGAAGAAGATCGAGGCAGTGATAGCTCCGAAGGCAGTATAGCAGGTGATGGAGCCGCTAGTGATAGTGACTTTTCTATTACTAGTTGTAGTTCTACCGGTGGTACTCCTCGAAAAATTAATAGTAACCTAATTCGTCCTCCTAGTCCTGACCCCTTATGGCTGCAGCAAGAACGAAAAATTCCACCTTTGGAACTGCCTGCTTCATCTGAAGATTTAATAATCCCTCACAAGTTAGTTTTACAAATAGTGGGTATATATGAAGTGTTAAGGCACTTCAGGCATCTTGTACGATTATCTCCATTTCGCTTGGAAGACTTGTGTGCAGCTGTTAGTTGTGAAGATCAAAGCAGTCTCTTAATAGAAATTCATATTATGTTGCTTAAAGCTTTATTAAGGGAGGAAGATGCACAACAAACCCATTTTGGTCCCTTAGATCATAAAGACAGTGTAAACATTACTTTGTTTTTATTGGATGTGATGACTTGGCCAGAAGTTTTAAGGGTTTATGTTGAAAGTGACAAATCATTTGACCAAAATGTAGCCAAAATTTTGAACTCCTGTGAATACCCTTTTACATCAGTGGAAGACCGTGTGGCTGTATTACAGTTTCTGTGTAATCAATTTTTAATTACAAATCCAGTACGTGATGATCTTATTAGTGAAGGTTAGTACTAACTAGTATTAAAGAAAAATAATTAATGATGATATTTTTCGTTTCCTATTATTATATTAACAATATTTCTTAATTTATATAAAATTAGCTGGGTGGAATTTCTCCTATCTTCATTAAAATAAGCAAGAATATATTTAAAAAGAATTTCAATATTTGGAAAAACTTATATTAGAAAACATTAATCAATATAATTAGCAATATTTCATACAAAGTTATGACATAGCAGCTAACGGACTAATATATTTTATGATTTAATCATGTGCCACAAAAGTGTGTTTATTTTAGAATATAGCATGATAACTTATACATTTAATTTATTGATCTAATGTTAATGATGTACCTTACCAAATGTAATCTATACAAATAAATAAAATTGAAGTGTGTTTGTAATGTCAAAATTACAGCTTTTTACTAAATGCATATGAAAGTATATACAGTCTGTCTGTCTGTCCTTCTGTCCTCTCTGTCTGTTTGTTCTGGCTGATCTCCAAAACGGCTGGACCGATTTTGACAAAACAAACACAGTACTCAAGAGCATGAGCTCACGGAAGACAACATGAGGCACAGACCTTTGAAAGATAATTTCTCTTTCAAAGATCAGTGCGTTTGAAAGGGAAATTCTTGAAGAGAAAAGTTTGAAGCAAGTAAATGTAAAGGATAGAACAGAATAGACATAATATTCAACTTGTACCCGCTGGACACTAGTGCCCTTGAAGCATGCCACGGTCTTTTTCCCTTGGACACTATCATGGCCCAAAGCAAGACAGCGGTTAAGTGGACTTTAGAATGTTTTAACAAATTTCTGTATCAGTGTTTATTTAATCAAAACCCTGAATTAGGAAGGTAAATAATATTTGTTTGTCACAAGTTCCGTACAAATATCTGTAGAAATCTACTGTCGATTATTAAACTTTTCATATTTTTCCAAAAATCAACAGAGTTACATGTAGGAACTGCCAAACTATTCACCTAACTGTCATTTTACTGCCCATTTGTTTATTACCACTGCTTCAGTATTTTTTGTTCTAGTGCTGTAGAATAAAATATTCAACCAATTTACCTGCTGCCAAAAAATATACTACTGTTTGTTTAATTTTTTAAATGAACTGTATTAACCACACCAATCAATGTAATGATGGTGTAAGGATATCCACTGTCCCATATTGCCCTATGGATGTCATAAGATGCGACAGAGGAAAACAAACCAGGAGATGATAACTAAATAATGCCAATGTAAGGTAGTGGACTTTCATCGGCTGTAATGGTAATAGTAACCATCCCAAAGCTTAATTAATATTTATACAAATTAATTCCCTTATCATATACTTAGTTTTGTTCCCTCTGTCTCTACAGTTTTATAATATCTAAGGGTAGTAGTGGCAATAATTTATGGATTAGGAGTTAGCTAATTTGGTTTAGTGAGTAAATAAAATGAAACTAATGTGAAAAAAAAAAAACAAGTGGTGGCAATTGTGTGACAAAGACTTCTTACTCTTAATTATCAATAACCATGTTTAATAACACTGTAATGTTCAACGTTAACATATTTATACTCCACCAAATCTAATACCTTTTGATAGCTGTCACATAGGACTATTTAGGCATTTTAACTGAAAAATCAATAACTACATTATTTGTTTCTTAAGAGATATTGAAATAGATTCTTTAGAGTTGGTAATCATGTACAGTTTTTTTTTTATAGATTAATACCAGAATAAATTAGAAACAGACAACTCAATTCATATTTATTGTTTACTGTAGAGATAAAGTTATATAAATTACAGAGTGAATTTTATTTTCACTGCAACTATTACTATTAATTGTTATTTGATTGTGTATAATGCATTCAAAATAAATGTCTCTTTCATAGTCGTCCATAACAATTTTCTTTGTTTTCTCCATCACTTTGACCAAGTGATCGCTTGTGTAGTAGTTGTATTTTCTACAAATCCTCCGGCTTATCCCACATTTCAAATTATGAGGCATCCACCTATTCCCACGGACAAGTATCATCTGTCTATGTCTGCTCTGCTGTGTGGTTGACGTTAAGCCATGTGTCATCAATGAATATAACGTCCCAATTGGTTATATTTTTAATTTCTCATAAAAATTATATTATTTGCATTTTGAATTCATATCTATAAATAATTATTTTGCATTTGTCAAGATTTTGTAATGGAAGTCAATTCCTTATTAAATGGTTCTATTTCAATGAATCTGTTCTACTATTGTACAAGCCGGCGTCTTCTAAACTTGCAACACAAACAAGCAATCTTCGCCACTGTGGGATTCACAGAAATTATAAAAAAAAATAGATTTGTTTAATTCATAAATTTATGCAACTCGAAAAATAAAATAGTAAATAAGCAAAATTCACACTCCAAAAATAAAATACTGATTATTTGCATTAGCATTTATTTGAATCATGCAAACACTACGGTAAGGTGCACAACGACATCATTGAAACATTGTGAAGCATAAAATTTGATTCTGGTTAAGTTTTTTTTTTAATATATTTTGCCTTATTTCAAATATTCGAATTTAAATTAGTGATAAAAAACTATACATGTTGTAATGAAATATAGATAATTTCATTATTCTTTGATTTACGTAAAAGGTTATTTTATATAGTGTGAGTACGTTTGGACAAAGTTATTGCAGAATGCTTAATGTGAAATGTCGAAAGGTATTTCTTAGATTTGGTTGAGTATAGATTCATGCAATGAAATGTTTGGTGGCATGTGACAACAATTGTAGAGGCTTCAAATATTTTGTTGTTACATAACATTAATTATATATCATCAATTCTATAATGTAATATTAAACATGCTACATTTTTTATGAAATATGGACTAGGAAATTTAAATCAATACAAATAAATAAAATTGAAGTGCCTGTTTGTAATGTCGCAATAACAGATTTTTACTAAATGCATATTATGAAAGTTTATACAGTACTTATAACAAAAAACAATTTTTAAAATTTTTGTCTGTCTGTTTGTACCGGCTAATCTCCGAAATGGCTTGACTGATTTTGACAGGACTTTCATTGCTAGGTAGCTGATGTTATAAGGGGTAGCTTAGACTACTTTTATTTTTTTTTTATAAATTTGGGGTTCCATGAAAAAAAAACCTATGAAATACAATTGTAATAAATTCACATGGACGAAGTGGCGAGAAACAGCTAGTAAATTATAAATTGTGTTCCCTGTTTCACAAATAAGTGATTTTAATAATATAATATATTTTTATCTATATTGCAGTTCCTATTCATTATGATGACCATTGCCGAGTTTGTCATCGGCTTGGAGATCTGTTATGCTGTGAAACTTGCCCTGCAGTATTTCATCTGGAGTGTGTCGATCCTCCTCTTGTTGATGTACCTTCTGAAGACTGGCAATGTGCTTTATGCAAACAACACAAAACAATTGGTGTAACAGATTGTCTGCCTGATGCGGAGAAACAAGGACTATTATGTAGACATGAACATTTGGGCTTTGACAGACATGGTAGAAAGTATTGGTTCATTGCAAGACGCATTTTCATGTATGTGTTACATATTTCATTTCCGTTATATTTCAATAACATGTATTGCAACAGTGAAGCCTTAATAAGTTTTTATGTTCATATTTATTTTCAGTGAAGCAGAAAATGGTGAAGTATGGTATTACACTTCAGTTCAACAGTTTCAAGAATTGCTAAGTATACTGGATGGTGATGAAATGGAAGCTCCACTTGTCAGAGAACTTTTAGAAATGAAACAAGAAATTATTAGACAAATGGATATTACAGAAAAGTTAACCAATCAAGCAAAAGGGAATAGAAAATCCTATTTGGAGGTTGAGAATAGCAACATAATTAAACAAAGTAAGTTAAGAGAAGAACAAAAAGACAATGCAGATAATGATCAATTTAAACTAGAGGATGATAAAAGTGAAACTGGAATATCTTTAGTCACTGATGGGGATGTTGTGAATGAAGTGACTGTTACTAGTGAAGATACTCCAAAAGAAGATAATGATGAGTATCAACATAATTTAGATGATGAATCAAAGAGATTAAAAAATAATCAACATAATAAAATAAAGTTAACGGTACAAAGGAAAACTGAAGAAGGTTAGTTACAGTAGATTTTTATATTTTATTATAGTGAAGATTGTGTGGCCTTGTGGTTGGGCTATTGACTGGCGACGACAAAAAATGGCAAAAAGCTATTCCTTACAGGTCTTGTTATGTTATAATTATTACCTTGTCTGCATCCTGATTATGTATCCTATTGATCTCATTGCATAATTATTGTTTCATTGGATATGTGTGGATTAAGAATATATTAGTGCCTCAATGTTACATAAGTATTGCTACATAATAATATGTATGTATGCAGGTGGTATTATTATACACCAAAATATTTGATTGTTCTGAATTGCTCCAAAGGGCATTACCAACAACATGGCTAGTTTAGTATTCAAGTTAGAAAAACCCCCATTTTTATTCATAACTATTAGACAGATAATAATTTTACTATGCGTATTATTTAAGTTTCTTATAGTGTTTTGAAGAAGGAAAGTCAAGCTCATCACACTGATTACCATCAACTCAAGGTCATACGCGCAACAGACATAAACTAGATTAATCATCACAAACTATATAAAACAAAACTTTTTGATTTTAACACTGATACTCTGTGAGAATGTGGGCCTTTCCTAGTGCCTATATTTTAATATGTCAAACACTGGTGATGTCTAGTTTTATACAATACAATAGATAAAGATTGTGTACATAATTTTTTTTTATTTCAGTTACTGAAAGGGTAACACGCTTAAAATCAAACCAAATTTCAAATGGCACATATCTCTTCAAATTGGGTAATGAAAATGCATTCAAAACCTATGTCAATCAATATACAAGCAATCCTTTGGCGTTGAACAAACCACAAAGGAATGAGGAAAGAGATAAGAAAAGATATATTTCACATAAATTTTCACTATCATCAGGACAAGAGTTTAAATGGATTGGATTATTAAATGGTAATTTTATTTTTTATTTTTAAAATCTTGAAATAAGAAAATTGAAATTTTGACCAAACCTTTTAATTTTCAGCAACAAGACCCTTATTAGTGGCAACGTTAAGGCAAACACTGTTGCACTTTGAATCAAATATAGTTTTACAATTCATGCATCCAAATTGGTCCCTTTTAAGGAAACCATGGGTACAAGCTGTGCAGTTATGTCAAGCACCACGAGATTTTGCGAGGGCCCTATGTGTTCTTCAGGTGAAATATATAATTATTTATATTTGTATGTTCATATTTCTGTAAATATAAGTTTAATGGTCAGAGAACCTGATCTCATGGGTTGGGTTAAGGAAAAGTGTACCACACTATAATCGGGTTTATTACCTCCAGAATAATTCCCAAGCACATGTGGCTAAAATTACATGTAACAAGTAATAAGAATTTAATTGGGAAATATTACCACACCTCCCTTATTCACCAGATATAGTGTCAATAGATTCTCATCTTTTCCAATCATAACAGTACAATTTGAATGACAAACAATTTGACAGTCCTAAGAATAATCGAATATAAAAGTAAGGATTTTTATTATTAGCAAATTCATGCTCTGCCTAATTAACGGAAGAAGGTCGTGTTTTTAGAAGGCAAACACTTTAATATTTTTAAAATAAACTTTCATATAAGTAACATTCAAATTTTGCAAAGACATGCAATAACCCATTAAATATATAATTAACAGTATTAGGTAAACTAAGTCTTCTTGATAAAAATAGAGGAATACTATTGACATATATTTTCTTTCTTGAAATGTATATGAAAAAAAATATGTCCCACAGCTGGGCACAGGTTTCCTTCTAATTCTGAATGGAACATTTATTTCGCTGTGCTCCCCTAGTGCATATTTTATATCTTGAACCATTATTTTTTACCACAAACCAAATATAATTTATATCCGTAAAAAAATGGATCAGTAAGCTGACATAGCAATGGGATGTCCATATAGCTTGAAGAACAGACAACCTATGGCAAAGAAAACTTCTCGAGTGGCAGACTCATACCAGTAAGAGAAGTGTTTGGCGTCAGCAGAAAAGTCAATAGATGCAGGTGCTTCAGGACCATAATTTGTGGCATTCCTTTACTGGAGGCTTGTTTTCATCACTTATGGGCTGTAATGATGGCAATGCTGATGATATTAAAGAACATAGACCAATTTCATTGTGAATGATTACTTTGCTTATAGTTTTTAAATTGAACTTACTTTCAAGTGCTTTGTAAATATTTTCCTCAGGCATGTATCAAAAGTGTAGTGTGGGTGCCTGCTTGGCATGAGCAATTAGGTCATGTAAGGCTTATAAGAACTACTGCTGCTGAGCGAGAAGAACGTAAAAAATTAGATAAAAGAGAGAAAAAAGAAAGAGATGAAGAAGAGGAACGATACAGAACAGCATACAATTTTGTCAAGTATTCTTTAGGTCTTCGTCACCAGGTAATATTTAAATTCTATAAATTTCATAAAAAGCTATAATTTGAATATTTGAATTAGATTTTTAGAATTCTGCTGTTGTGCAAGGAACCTTTAATTTTGATTAGTAATTTTTAACTAAAAATTACAAGTGCTTCCAATATATTATGCCTTAACCCTTTATAGGGCAGAATTTTTTTTGTTGAATTTGTCTTTTTGGTATTGGGATAGGTTTACGGGTGTACAGGGACTGAAATTAGTGTGATATTCACTAGCTGATTTATTCGGGTTTGCATATTTTGAAAAATTTTGATGGGGTTGTTTGAAACTGACCGGTTAGGAATTTTTTTTTAAAAATAAATCCAAATTATAATTAAATTATCTTTATTTGAAATAAAAATATTTTTAGTATTTTTTATCTTAAAAAATCTTAAATTATTAATCAAAGTGACTAAGTGTACTATTATTACAAAAATGACTCCTTTATGTCATAAAACTAACAAAAAAGTCTTCTAAATCTTATAGAATAAAAAATCTCTGCCAATCTTCTATGAAAAAATACAACTATTTGTATGTAACTTTTCATAGAATATCTATTATTATAATTTATATTTCTTTATGACTTAGTCTTGGGAATAATAATTTTCAGGAATTGAAAGTCTTATAAATCAATAGCCTTAGGAAACATCAAACCAACAATCTTGGTAACTAACAGTCTTAGTTTTAGGAACCTGTAATAGCATATTCAGTCCTAGAGCTGCTAATCTCCCTGACATGATGTTCAAAGCTAGATCATTCTCAAGATCTGAGTCTCCTCCAATATCTGAATTTTCGGCTTGGACGTCATTTATGCCCGTGATCAAACTGACTAACTGATCTTATGGCATGTTCTCTAAATTTAATACTGGTATAAATATCTAAAACAAACAGAAAATACATACCTGTAACAATTCATTTAGGTTGCATCTAACGCACACCTCACCGGTCTCCATGCCTACACTTTGACACCTAATGTCATTTTTGTGCAAAAATATCTGAATAAACTGTTTTCTGGCATAAAGTGATAATTCTACTTTGCAAAAGTTTACTGTAATAGCTCCAAATACGTAAAATAAAGAACGAAAGTGAAATATGCACTTGTTCAAATTCTGACCTAAAAATCGGTTTTTCTACCTGTTAAGTTCAAGTCGTTATTGTAATTTATAAATACAAGTTGAGAATAAAATTTATATACCAATTTGAAGGAAAATAACTAAATTATTCGTTAACTTACCTTGAAACACGAAAATACCACATTTTACCACAATTTTTTTTAATAATATATGAGACACAGTCACTTCCCCAGGTCGTATACAGTTATAAGATAGAAGGCACAAACGTAACCACCAATAAGTTGCACCTTACCAAGGAAATGTGACTAACTTCACTTTGATGGCTTTGCTTGTTGCTTGCGCCCGTTCAGGGACTACTCATTTATACTATAAGGTCGACTGCCAATGCAAGCAATAATGAGTTATGAGTCTTAGAGTCAACCTTGTCGGGTGGTTACAGCCGCTATACTAATTTCGCTTCTACTCTATAAAGGGTTAATTACATGATATGAAAAATCAAACAAGTACTTTAACATATATTAACAAAGCGTTGACTTATTTGAGATTGTTAAAGTGAATGATATACCGTTATTGTAGTTTTTGAAAATACTAGTAAATAAGTCTTCTACATTTATTTAAAATTTAATTTCTCAAATTGAATGTGATTTATGGGCAACAAAGTTTTTGCCTACTCATGAACCCTTACAAATGTGTGCGTGCCCAGTATAATCAGTTAAAATAATGTATTACCACTCATATTGAATTTAAAAGAATATTTAATTTATTTTTGATTTTTTGAGATTTTTTTTACCATTTGCCTGTGTTCCTCATTCTGTACCTTTTCTGCAAATTCGGACGGTAACAATATAAGCATGTATAATGCTAAGTAAAATTCCTCTTAATTATTGAATTTATAAGGTTGATTTTTTGTGTTCTTATAGTACACAAAAAATCAACCTTAAAACGTATAAGTTATCCATATCATTTACTTTATAAAACCCGAAGCTATACTGTATATAAATAATAACTTCTTATAACTTGATTCTGTCGATATTTTATGAGACCAATATGATAGTACATTCTTGCAATAAAAAGTAGTTAAAATCGGTTAATGTCTAGAGAGATATTGGGTTACATCATTATGTTCTAATGAGCCTAAAGACTTAAAAAATCCGGCACAGTGCGTGTCGGACCACGTACAATGTAGAGTTCTGTAGTTGCCTGTCACAATATGTGAACTTAAAAGGAGCCTGTACGACAAAAAAATTGCCCAAATAAGACGAAGGTAGCCTAAGGACTTATTTTCCAAGCAGACTTATAGTATTCAAAAAATATTAAAAAGGTTTTGCATTTTAAAAATAATACAATCTACATCAAATCACTCACATGCCTAGTCTGTACAAAAATGGTCATAGTTCCCTACCCATCTATTAAGTAACGGACAAATTTAGCAGACGGGGTTCCTTATTGCTTAACACGGGACATAGTCAAACTATAAAGCGATATTTATAACTCGATTTTTAAAATTCACGCTAAATTAACCCGTTTCACGCGGCTGCATTGATCGATCCATTTGCACGATTAGTGACGTGTTTGCATTAAACAATAGGAACACGTATATTGTCAGTTGACTCAATGTTTCACATAAATAATATTTTTTGCTTGATATATCGCCCATATTTATAAGATTACATAGTTACTGTACGAGTGTCGTAGAATATCAGAAAGCTAGTTATTATGTACTGTGTCGTCGACAGCTAAAAGTACGACAACGGTACACAAAACAGCAAACAAAATGCAACTCATAAAACCTTAGGAAACTATTTTACACAGAAAAATGAACTTATAATAAAAAGTAAAAACAGGCTTCTTTTTGTGGACTTTGTGTGGGATGTCATCTTGATAACCCTGAACCCTACCTACTAAATAACAAAGAAGCATAAAAATCGAAAGTTGACAAAGATATTGCGTAACAAACATGCGAAAAAAACATACACTCGAATTGATAAACTTCCTCCTTTTTTGAAGTCAGCTAAAAATACAAAAATAATGATTGAAATTTGTAAAGTTTTCGGGAATATAAGCACATTCGTTATTTATTTAGCTTGTCATTTGATAATACCCTATTAAGGTAATATCGCTTAAAGGAATTAGATCCGGAATGTATACCTCGTGTAAACGGGCTATTACTGTTATATGTACCACACATTTACCAACAATGCTTAAATATCTGCTTTTAGGTATGGAAACAAAAGGGAGAAGAATATAGAATTCATGGACAGTGGGGCTGGCTGTGGAATTCATCTGCAAGAAAATATAAAAAATATAATGCTAATCCTAAATTAAGTCTACTTAATGGACCAGCTAAAATAGCTGTTAGAGTTAGGGAAGGAAATACTATTAAAGTTTTGGCAGTTGAACCAAAAACTTATGAATACTTGACATCAAAAGATGCTGCTGATAATGAAGTTTTAGAAAAATGTAAGTAGTTTCATAATTATCATCATCATCATTTTCATCACGAAACACTTGTATCGTGACGAAAATGATGAATTCAATATAGCGTAATTTAATTATCAAATAAATATTTATTTTGCAGTACCAGTATCAATGCGCAATATGAAACTTGAAAAGGAAATAGACGATTTTGAAGAAATAGACGTAGAAAAATCCTTAAGCTCCTCAACTAGGAGGTATTACCCAAAAATCGCAAGAAAATCTAAATTAGATGATTTTCTTGCGCGTCGTACATATCTTAAATTTATGGAAGAAAAGAAATTAGGTAATTTGTTAGCTAATATAAAAAAGGAAGAAGAGGTGGATGTTAAAATTGAAGATGAAAAAAACGTTGATGTGGAATCAGAGGATCCAGAAATAGATGCAACATCAATTTGTGACTCTACTATAGAATCAAACCCCAAGATTTCCACTTCTATCGCTCAAAATGTAGAATGTCTTAGAGATCAATATCAGAAGTTAAACCAATTGACAAAACACTATAAATGTTATTCGACAGGATGTACAAAAACTGAGTTAACGGTTATAAATCAAATTTCCACAGGGTTCAAAATTAATTGCTATTCACCATTATGTATTGAAAAAGGCAAGTTACTAAATGAACTTTTATTTGTATTAAAAGATGGGGCTATAAGTTCGACGCATTTACTCAATTCAAAAGAAAATAATAAAATGTCAATTTTAGAGCAGTACCTGTTGGGAAAAAGCTCTAACTCCAAAGAAAATATTTTGACAGATTTGTTATCTGCGGTTGCATGTGCTCAAGAGTGTGACAATAAAAATACAGATTGTTTTGTCAAAAGGAAATCAAGTAGCAGTGTTGATGGGATTGTTAAAGTTGAAAAGAATGAAAATGATCAATCTATGTGCCTTATAAAATCAGAAAGCACTTTGGAAGAATCCGCTGTACCGGCTGTGGGAAATGAAATGGACATTGATATAACAAGCAATAATAATGATGATAGTGAAGTAGAAATTGGCCCCTTAAAAGAATTAACAGATGGTGAAGTCCAAGGACAACAAAATGAAAACAATGATAATGAGTGTAATAAATCCCGCCCGCCAATACCTAAACTAAAAATAACACGGGGGAGGTCCAGCAAAGTGTCTAATGCAGGTAATTCGGGCCCTAGCAATAATCAATCAGATTCATCTTATGAATGTTCTGTTACAATAAACAAAAATGAAGATAAACCGAAATATAGGGCGACTGTAAATAGACGATTTGGTCATTCAAGATCTATTAAAAAAGAAGAAAAGGTTATAAAGGAAGAAAAAGTAGAAGGTGTAACTAGAGTATATTCTTCAGAAAATGCTCAGGGAAAAGTATATCTTAAAAGAGTGCAGACATCGGCCATTGAAAAGAAAAAGAAAAGAACTCCTGTGAAATATCCTTTATGTTCAACATTCCACACTAAAAGTAAAGCGAAAACCATCATGGTTTTACCCCATCATGAATTGAGAAAACTTTGTAGACAATCTGGTCATAGCACTGTTTCTGGGTTCAGTCATAATGCGAAACCTAATCAAGCTGTATGGCCGTATCCCTGTGCTAGACCTCTTTTTAAAACCTGTTGGCTATATCGTACTGTAAATCTTCAATGGTTAGCAAGTGCAGCTTTGCAGCTCCGAATAATGTGGGCATGTTTGAGGTGGGATGATATGGCTGCTAAGCCTGCTACAGCTGATGGTAAACATCAGCTGACAACAGACACTGAAATAGTTTCTCTGGAACTGTTAAAACATCGACACATAGGTCAATTTTCAGAAAGAACGCAATACTTGCGTCGTAAAGTTGTAATACCCCTTGAATTACCTAAAACTGTACGTGAAGTTACTTCAATTAGAAGTGGATTAAGAAAACGTAAACGGGCGGAATCTCCGCAAAACACGGAACCTCAGGTAAATAATTTAATAACATTCTCCACTTTCAGTTTTAATATATTTTATAAACTGTTTATATGTTGTTCAGGTATCAGAAGAGTGGGTGGATGAAGAAAAATTAGAATTATGGGAAGTACGTCAGTATGGAGAACGTGCAGAGCGCGTTACTCCCGTAACACGACAAACAACTGGCAAACTTCCACAAAGGAATGTAGTACCAACACCACCCAATGCTGCAGATCTTAAAGATAAAATGGAACAGCAACTGCGCGAACAACGAGCTGCTCATCAACAGAAAAGAGCTTTAGAAATGTCACAGGGTAATTACATAATGTTGCTTATTCACACATACACAGGTGTACACACAGATATTCTTTTAAACAATAGTAGAATTGGTCTTAAAAAGAGATATCATGAAATTTGGAATTTCAGATATTGGACAAATTACAAGAAATAGACATTCGAAATTAAAAATTAATTTTGTTTCAGATAAAATGAAGTCGACGCCTAACCAAAATTCTGGGAAAAGCACTTTAACTTCTTTGCTTACTACAAATTCAACGACACCAACAGGTCAAAAAACAGTAATCGGTACCAGAAGAATTATAATGACTAAAGGTGCAGATGGGACTACTCGCGTAATAAGTCAATCTGTGACTGGATCACCAAAATCAGTAGCATCAGTAGAAACTACAAAAACCCATGCAAGTCAACAAAAAGATGGACCACAAAAGGTCCAAATAATACGTGCACCCGATGGAAAATTAACTGTTAGAGGCTTACTAGCCGGGCAACAGTTGATACAGCTACCAGATGGAAAACTGCACATAGTTATGGCTGGACAACAAGGTGTTTCTGGACAATTGGTGTCAGCTTCTTTAACCCCAAAAGTCACGGAATCAGATACACCTAAAGACAATCCTGAGAAAAAGATTGCTGTGAAAGTTAGTACGGAAGAAGCGAAAAGGACCGCAACGCCGACCTCGGTGCCTCGTATTTTACGGCAGTCGGCGCAGCAGAGTGCGGTGCATGGCAACCGGCAGCTCGTAGTGCAGCCGGCGCAGCAGGTCGTGGTGCAATCGCCGCAGCAAGTTGTGGTTCAGCCGTCGCAACAGGTGGTGGTGCAGTCGTCGCAGCAGATGGTGGTGCAATCGTCGCAGCAGGTGGTGGTGCAGGCGGGCGCGCGCGCCGCCCCGCAGCCCGTGCAGTCGCGTGCGCCCGTGCACACGCTGCTGCTGCAGGGCCAGATGCTGCAGCGCCCCCCGCGCCCGCAGCCGACCCCGCCCCCGCCCCGCGCGCGCCCCGCCACACAGCAAATCGTCGTCAACAACCCGGTGCTCGTGCAGCAGATAGCCGCTGGCAAAATACAACTGGCCACCGTTAACGGTCAACAGGTGCTGATAAGACCCACTGGGAACAACCAGGCGCAGATCGTGGCGCACATTGGGCAGAGCCCGGGAGTGACGGCGGGTGTCGCAGCGGCCGCGGTGGCCACGGCCGCGCCGCCGCCCGCTCCGGCCGCGCCGCCCGCGCCGCGCCCCGCCCTGGCCGTGCCGGCTCCCTCCCCGCAGCTCCAGCAAATGACCGAAGACCAAATTATGGAAAAGGAGCTTTTAGCTGGCCAGCCTCCAGGAACAGTCATCAAAACAGTGACGGCACAGGTAATTTACCTAATATTTAAAAATGTATGTTTGTTATTATGCACTGTAGGTAAACAGTATGGGTTTATCAGATAGCTCTAAAACTTTGTCAATTTATTGCTTGCATTTGCGCGAAGGTAATAGGTATAGATAGTACAATTAACTTACAGTAGGTGCTGCTTGTCAATAAGCAATCAATATCTTTGAAAGTCATATATCATTCAATGTCAATGAATATATTATCATTCCTAATTAAATAATATAGCTCTTCCAAATTTAAAACAATATTTCCACAATGATTTCTTCTGCGGCACCAATACGCTGGGTAGCAGCTATCTATACATAGACGTCCATTACACGGTAGGTTTTGCTGTCAGTTTTACAACAATCACGGTTGTGATTGACGAATAACCTATCGTGTAATGCGGTGATTGACGGTTGCATGAAATTGATTGACAAATATCTGGATATTTTGATTTTTACGTCAATCAACTATCAGTCACGAATTTTGATTGAACGTGTAATGGCATTTCGTCAATCTCACGTCAGTCAACGCTTAGATAGCAATGGAGGCGGACGCAGAATATATTGAAGAGGCTGCTTCTACGCGCTCGCGCAGCCCGTCGCCACTCCCACCAAATGTGTTTCAACCAGAAAAAGATTTTATTTTAAATTTTCAGTCTCTCCCCGAGTTGTGGGACACGAAAAACCTCGGGTAGGTTGGATGCCCCTAATACCAGCCACGCCCCTAATTCCAGCCTTTCCGCCTTTTTACTTCGTAAATAAGATTTCTAGTAGTCTTAACTACAAATATGGTCGGCTAAAAATTCTTCGTAATTAGAGGAAAGTATATTTCAAATATTACCTACCTCACAGTTTTAAACCTAACAGTGTTAAATTAAAAATCAAAACATAAGCATATTTTACATTAGCTCATCTTTAGGCTTTTTGATTTGTATGAATATGACTATAGACATAGTAATGCAGCTATTTTTGTTTAAATTTATAAGTTTTTTATTTTATTTTAGTGGAAATTAATGGGGCTGTAATTAGATATACGAAATTTATGGAGTACATAATGTCAGTCGCCCGACTGTTATTTCGTTTGACGTAAATAATAAGAAGTACCTTATTTCAACCACGTAATATAAATCAGGGCTGTCATAAACTAGCATAAATACCATTAATTTGAACTCACACAGAAAACCAACGTAGAATAGCAGCTTAACGCTGCTGTGTTTCGTATGGTGAGTGTAGAGAACCGGAGACCCTTTTTACTGGCAAAGAGGCATTCCATCTTAGTCCTCACGGGTGACAACGCATCTGCATCTTGAGTCTATATTGAGGATAGATGTAGATGTTTATGGGTCATAGTAGCCACTTACCATCAGGTGGACTGTGTGCTCGTTTGCCACCCTATCCTATATAAAAAAAATAACTTATTTTATAGTTAAGTAAGTTATGGTCAATTCGTCTATATTTTAAAATTGGTGTTTGATTTAAAAGTTTAGCAAATGATACGTACTTGCTTTTCAGACATTTGGTATATGTTAAGAACACCATACAATATTTAATTATTTTTTGGGAAAGACAAAAACAAACAATAAATGTAATTAACTACAACTTAGTAATACTAATTTTATTATAACTTAAGAACATAAATGAAAAAGTCATAACAAGGAAAGTGGTTCAGGACCATGCTTTGCGGCAGTCTATGGAGGATGATGTTCTGTAGTCGACTTGTGAAGGGCTGAAATGATGATAAAGATTGTAAAACTTGGATGATTAAATTATAAGAAATCGGTGTACTATAATACATAATTTTTATTATAATATTATTTTAATTAATTGTTTAGTGTTAAAAGATAAAATGTAACTGCTTAAAGCTAAACCACAGTAAGGTAAGAAGTAAAACATTAAAATAAAATAATTGTTGTCGTCTATCTTATAATACATATTTCATACTTGTGACATGCATGATTTAAAATTAAAAGTTGTTATGAATTTACTTCAGTGCCCCTAAAATTTACCTACAATAGGTACCTACCAAAAACTCAAAAGGCATAGCCCTATGCTATGCTGGCATTAGATACACAAAAGGAAATTGAAATTGGCACTAAAAGGCTGGTAATAGGGGCATCCACCCTATACGAATAAATGTATAAGTTAAGCTTATTTTTCGTCCATAAATGCGTTTTAAATAAAACCGCGTATCGATTATGCACTCCAAGAGGTCTAACATTTGCGCGCGTTAAATTAAAATGGGTAAAATGATATTAAATATTACAATTTTTCCTATTCGTTTTTTTTTCTGTTTCTTTTCAAGATATAAAATTATAATTAATTGGTGAATCGAAAATGAACTTAGGTTATAGGTACGTCCTTTCACTCCGAAAATTTGGGTTTGACTGACGATCAGTCAGCATGAGCGTGTAATGTCCAAATTATTCCATCATTCAAACCCCAGTCATGATTAATCGAACTGATTGACGTTTGCCTAGGCGTGTAATGGGCGTCATACAACGTCATAGACGCCCATTACACGCCTAGGCGAGCGTCAATCAGTTCGATCAATCATTATTGACGTTTGCATGATAGAATAATTTCGACATTACACGCTCATGCTGACTGATGTCAGTCAAACCCAAATTTTCGGAGAGAAAGGACCTACCTTTAATCTAAGTTCATTTACGATTTACCATTTAACTGAAATTTAATATCTTGAAAAGAAAAAAAAAACGAATAGGAAAAATTGTAATATTTAATATCATTTTACCCATTTTAATTTAACGAGCGCTGCTTGGAGCGCATAATTGATACGCGGCTTTATTTGAAACGCATTTATGGACGAAAAATACCTTACTGTATACTATAAGATAAGACTTTTTCATTTATGTTCTTAAGTTATAGTAAAATTAGTATTATTAAGTTGTTGTTAATTACATTTATTGTTTGTTTTTGTCTTTCTCATAAAATAATTAAATATTGTATGGTGTTCTTACCAAATGTCTGAAAAGCAAGTACGTATCATTTGCTAAACTTTTAAATTAAAAACCAATTTTAAAATATAGACGAATTGATCATAACTTCCTTAACTATAAAATAAGTTATGTTCTAATTAATGGTATTTATTCCAGTTTATGACTGCCCTGATTTATATTACGTGGCTGAAATTAGGTACTTCTTATTATGTACGTCAAACCAAATAACAGCCGGGCGGCTGACATTAAGCACTCCATACATTTCGTATATCTAATTACAGCCCCATTAATTTCCACTAAAATAAAATAAAAAACTTATAGACTTAAATAAAAATAGCTGAATTACTATGTCTATAGTCACATTCATACAGATCAAAAAGCCTAAAGATGAGCTAATGTAAAATATGCTTAATTGTATCGGGACCATAACTTATCAAAAATGAGGAATATGAGCGTATTTCGTTGTGTACGTGTTTTCATTTTTAATTTAACACTGTTAGGCTTAAAACTGTGAGGTAATATTTGAAATACCTCTAGTTACAAAGAATTTTTTAGCCGACAATATTTGTAGTTAAGACTACTAGAAATCTTATTTACGAATTAAAAAGGCGGAAAGGCTGGAATTAGGAGTGTGGCTAGTATTAGGTTCATCCACCCTACCCGGGGTTTTTCGTGTCCCACAACTCGGGGAGAGCCTCAAAATTTAAAATCAAATCTTTTTCTGGCTGAAGCATGTTTGGCGGGAGTGGCGACGGGCTACGCGAGCGCGTGGATGCCGCCTCTTCAATATATTCTGCGTCCGCCTCCATTGCTGTCTGAGCGTTGACTGACACGTGATTGACGAAATGCCATTCATTACACGTTCAATCAAAATTCGTGACCGATGGTTGATTAACGTAAAAATCAAAATATCCAGATATTTGTCAATCAATTTCATGCAACCGTCAATCACCGCATTACACGGTAGGTTATTCGTCAATCACAACCGTGATTGTTGTAAAACTGACAGCAAAACCTACCGTGTAATGGGCGTCATAGGTTTAAAAGAGATCAATCAGTAACTAGGTAATTAAGTAATGTATATAATTCTAAGCTATCTTACCAATGTAATAGGAACTTAATTGGGAAGGTATTGTCTAATACAAGATTGGTGATGATGATGATAACTGTATTAAATAAAAAAAAAATTTAATGCTCTTTTTAAATCTTAAACTTAGTAAACACATAACATTTTTTAAAACCAGAAAAAAAATGAAACAAAATACAATCATTTTCTTACATTTATCTATCAGTCAACTTTATCTTTCTATGCCTAGGTAATTAAATACTTTTTACGTTAAAATTAATCATAATTTAACTAGAAATCTAGTGATAAATAAATAATCTTCTCAATAACTTTTTCTAATCTACATTCTTACATATTTTGTGTACACTTTTTATTTGACAAGTTAATTTTACATTTCTGTAAAATGTATATTTAAAATATAAAAATATACGTCTTCACTACATTAAATCAATTTGTTTGGCGAGAACTGAAATGTCGTTTATGACATTAAAAATGTAACTTAGCACTTTAAAATAAAATAAGAATTATAATCTTAATGAAACGGTCTTATATTAGGTCAAAATTTTTATTTAAAAATATTATTTCATCTAGCTTTTTCGGCGTCAGTCTGTTACGTCTTTGGTTACTTAACATACCTGCTTTAGAAAAAACGCGCTCGGAAGGCACAGAGGAGGCGGGTATGCACAAGTACTTAATAGCCAACTGACTTAAAATAGGATATGTTTTACAATGCCTTTCCCAAAAATGAAGAGGGTCCTCTTTTCTATGAATTAAAGGTATTTCTAAATATTGTTTTATTTGCAATACAGCTGATAAAGTAGGTGTCATAGACGAAGTTTGTGACAGTGCTTTCTGGTCAAAAAATTTCCACAGATCGTTCTCATCATCCTTGCCAGCTCCAATTGTAGTATTATGCACAACAGTATCCACGATTGAATTGGAGTTAGAGGTACCTGTAGTAATGAATAACCTGTTAGACTCGTTTTCAATTTGATTCGCCAGCTGTTCCGTGAGCCATTTTTCGGTGCTTGTGGTATTTTCTGGCAACCCAAACCCAGTCTTTTTAAATCTGGGATCTAAAAGAGTACTCAGAGCTATAGATTTATGTGTTTCTGAGCCACCCAATCTCCTGCTCAAAACTTCTATTAAGCAGTTTTTTAAACTGATTCCTATATCAGTTGTGGGAACTTTCACTGAAAGTACATGTTGCAATCCACTTACCAAAGGAATTATTCTCGACAGTGTAGGATATTCTTCTCCTGATAATTCTATTGTAATTTTGTAGAGAGGTTTCAGAATTGGAATAACGTGATCTATTATTAACCACACAATTGTACAACCAGTGCATGTTGCCAGTGATGACTTACGGAACTGAGACGTGGTCCTTCACTGCTGGCCGTATGAGGAAGCTCAAGGTCGCTCAGCGAGCTATGGAGAGGGCTATGCTCGGAGTTTCTCTGCGTGATAAACTTAGGAATGAGGATATCCGCAGTAGAACCAGAGTAACCGACATAGCCCAACGGATTAGTAAGCTGAAGTGGCAGTGGGCCGGCCATATAGCTCGAAGAACCGACAACCGATGGGGAAGAAAGGTTCTCGAGTGGCAGCCTCGTACCGGTAGGCGAAGTGTAGGGCGTCCCCCCACGAGATGGAGTGACGACCTGGTAAGACATGCAGGAAGTCGATGGATGCAGGTGGCTCAGGACCGTGCTTTGTGGCATTCTTTGGGGGAGGCCTATGTTCAGCAGTGGACTTGTGAAGGGCTGTAATGATGATGATTATTAACCACTCGCTATCTTCGAGATTCTCGGGAGCATTTATCAATGAGATAAGGGATGCAGATAGTGGAATTCTGACTTCTGACAATTGTTGTATCATAAACAAAATAGAATTCCATCGTGTTGGCATGTCATTTTTAAGTTTCAAAACTGGTTATAACATTTGCTCTTGAGTTTCTTTTAACTTGTAGCTAGCGACGTTAATATGTCTAAAATGAGCGTGTAATGCACGACATCTATTCAAATTTGTTTGGAAAGCTGTACATTTTGTGATCGATTCCTGAAAAGACAGGTTCAGTGTATATGTGATGCAGGGGTGGTGAATTTTTCTCAAATTATCAGTCACAGCTTTTTTTACATTACTGGCGTTATTTGTTACGACCACAGAGATTTTGTTGATTGATTCTGGGAATTTCATCAGTATATTTATTATAGCCTCGACAATATTCAGGGCTGTGTGATTTATCATCACTTCTTCAGTCCCAAGGACACAACTTTTCAATTTATATTCCACAAACACAATATGCAATATAGTCTCTTTCATATCACTTAAGTTTTTGTGAATTATTTGGGGTTCATTAGGTAGGTAGCAACATTTCTGAAACGGTCGTTCTGCTGGGTAGTTCATAATTCGGCTGGAGTATTTTGACAAACTCATTGAAACCTTTGTTTTATATAAACTTCTCTATTTACCACGTTAGTACTCGCCGCGTATAGTCTCAATTGTCGAGGTTTTTTGTGCTGCCGGAGGCGCTATTGGTACCGCCACATTCAGTCTCCAAAGTACCTGACGGCTGGGGTGCGAGTGCTTTTGTTGAGGCTACATTTTCTTGAGGTCAGATTTCTTGTTCATGCTGTGCCAATTGCAACGGATGTTTCCTTTTTAAATGGTCCTTTAGGTTACTCGTATTTTTATAATAGATTACAGAATGTGAACACCTACATTTAACTTTTTCAATATTTCCTTCTTTGACTTTGTCAAAAAAATCCCACAATAATGATATTTTAGGCATCGCGTTAAGCTGGTCATAACACCCGCGCGTGACCTTGCTCTAAAAAATTCAAAAACCAACTAAAAACTAAAGTAAACTAAAAATAGAAATAATAATGCTTAAAAACAATCGACGCAACCAACACCGTCCCGCACGCACCAGCACACGTCATTGCATAGACGCACAGCGCACACTCGCATGCATTACATAGCGGCGGATTACGATATGCGTACAATTAGTAATTTGTCGATTGTTATTCGAATAATCATGTTGAGGAACTACTAAATCGACAATCGAATAAGCAATAGCACAATTTTCGATTCAGTCGATTGTTTTTTTGCAACATTCGCCCATCGCTAGTCGACACTCCATGTAGTGGGGGTCGCCCTAGAAACCCTAGGAACCCCGAGCATAGCCCTTTCCATAGCTCGCTGAGCGACCTTGAGCTTCCTCATACGGCTAGCAGTGAACGACCACGTCTTAGATCCATAGGTCATCACTGGCAACACGCACTGGTTGTACAATCTAGTCTTGAGGTTTTGAGGTATGCCTGACAAGAAGATGGGTCGTAATCTTCCGAACGCTGCCTAGCCGAGTTGAATCTGTCGATTGACCTCTCGGCCGAAGTTGGACTTATCTAGTCGGACTATTTATTCCAGGTAAACATATTCATCAACAACTTCGAACTTAGTGCTCCCAACAACTGCTGGCATAGGTGTAACATGGACGTTAAACATGATTCACACTTCGATGTACCGACAGTCAACTTGGCACCACCCAAATTTCGACGGAATCAAAGGTTTTCTCATAGTCCACATACGCAAGATATAGTGGTAAATTGTACGCCTGTCTTCTGTTCAATTTACCGAAGGGTATTTATAGTTAGACTACATTAGACGAGATTGATTTCGTTTGGTTCGATTTGATTTGACCCTCGTGATCACTGAACAGTTGTCGTCTAGTCGTCATAATGAAGTTAATCTCATTTTTCGTCGAACCTTCGGGGCTCGACCATGTCCATTTCTTGTGGGGCATGTAATTAATAGCAAAATAAAATTTAAGATTTAGGATAAAACGTTAATCATTAATTCTAAGAGTCAAATTAATATAGTTACATTGTATTATCTAATATTTTTCAGTATAGTATCACATTCCTGTGTACTGCTGATAATAATCTGGTAATAATGTACAGTATTCAATTTTTAAATGTTAACACTTTTAAATTGGAAACCTTGTATACTGCAACTATACTGTAATCAGATACCTAAAATTACCTAAATAAGAATTTTCACTTTGCATCATTTGTTCTATTAAAGGTGATGCAAACAAGTAGCGGCCCAAGCATTGTGCTTCAAGGTTTACACGGATACTCAATGTCGCCTCAGCAGTTGGCCCTTGTACAACATCAAGTTAAACAACAACTACTAAAAGGTAATTAATTAAGTAAATTAAAAAAAGTGATCAGCTGTTTACCAGCTCAAAAAGTAGTTTTTGACATAATATACCACAGTTTAAAGACCTTACAGTTGGGAAACAAATGTATTTGTGCAGGGCAACGGTGAGGGCCCTTTCGGGGCAGGGGGCGGCCCGACCTTCTGCCTGCGCACTTCACTAAGTCTGCTATACAATACATGCGGTTGGCGCGGGCGTGTTTTATAGTACTTATTTAACTAACTAATTTTCAGTGCCGTTTTTGAAAATATAATATCTATAATGGTGAATTACTGTTATAGTAATATGAGTTACTAAGCAAAATTGAATTCAAATGACGGCCATGCTTATGTTTCTCTCATTTATTTTGATAAAATTGTTTATCCGAATGCACTACATAGTTAAATTTAAAAATCGTAAACTGAAAACATCTATAAAAAAGAAAGCGTCACGAAAATATTTCGCAATGTAACACTTGTAAACGTGTTTTTTCTCATAGTAATAAAAATTATTTCCTCATGCATGCATTCGCATACTCAATAGAATATTTTTGCGATAATGACCAGCATAAGCCGTCAGGAACATTCAGACATAATATACAAGCACAATGAAATCCTTGCGCAACAATTATTTTTGCAAAAAGAACTGGTTTCCAGTAACCAGTTACTACTTATACTGGGTGGCGCCGAGGTTATCACGTTAAATAGCACAGCAGTTAATACAAGTTGATATATGTCTGTTAAAATAATAAAATAAACAATAATAAAAGAAAATAAAAAATGCATTTTTCAAACAAAATAAATAGGGTAAAATATTGACAAGAAATAAATCAGCCTTGATATATAGGTTACTGACCTGAAGTGACTTACAAAACGTCGCACGCGCCAGAAAAATAATAATTTATATTAACACCCGATCCCATTTCTTGTCACTTTGCGCGTAGAGAATTATGCCTTAACTTCATTATTTTAAGTAAATTTTTCGCTTGACTTTGTTTTCATACGCCTGCAGCGTGCGTTCCCTTTGTTTTTAATTTCGCGCATAAAATTATGCCTTAAATTGTTAGCCGTAAGTGCAGTTTTTGTTTGATTTTTTCTTTATTTGAGTAGTTAGGTTTGATAACCTTTAAACTACCTATATTCGCCTTGAAATGGCATGGGTCTTTGACCTTCTAGAATTCATCAGGTGATATCTGTATGCATTTACATGATGTTATTTAATATTGAAACGAAAAAAATGCTACCGCGGCTAATGTATTAATTGTTATATATTTTTTTAGTTGTGTATGTTTAAAGAAATTTATGTAGCATACGTCTTTTCATTTTATGTGATAACTTTTTCGTCACTCCGTATAAATATTGTAATAATTATATCATACAACATCTGTATTGCTTCAATTATTGTGTTTATTTCAATACTATGTTATTTATACTATTCCTTATTTTCAGCTCAAGAATCAACTGGAAAACAAGGTATGCTGGGACCTAGAAAAATGTATCTAGCGGTGCACCCACCGCCAAACACGACAACGCTAACCAATATTACGGCACCACCTACATTACAGCCAATCCAACCAATCCAGTCAATCCAGCCACTTCAGCCTCTTCAACCACTTTCTTTGCCCACACACCAGGTAATTTACTATTACTAGATGCTTATGAACCAAACCATAACTAAGCATACCTGATCAGAAAACATTTAAAAATATCTTAAATGTTTCACTCGATGTAACCAGTAAGATGATTAATTGACCAGTTTGTATTTCACTTGTTATCCATCCAAATGATTTTCAATGAGACATGTCTGTGTCTTTACAATTATTTCTATAGCTATCCCGAAACAGGAGAAACATACCTACAATGATGGTATATTGATTTTGAATACAGCTGTTTTTACAGTTGACATAAAATTATGATCACTAAATATTCGCATTTTATAAAATAAGATTGAGTGAATTCTGCTAATTCCTTATGGACTTATTATCTGTAGTGACTTTCACATTGTTGCGTCAGGTTTTATATAAAATATAATTTTCACAAACGTTCAGAATTTTGCAGGGTTGGCTTTCATAATCAAAGGAATACTGAGTTGTAGATGTAGGAATGAGTGCCTATTATATGTACTATGTATATTATATACTATGAAATTGTCATCTTTACCTATGATTCAGGACCTAAAAGTAAACTAAATATGCATATTATGAAACATTTAAATTAGTATTAGTATTCCAGCGACCTACATACATCAGGGTGAACTTGTGCTACACCTACTAAATACCGGGTGGCCAAAAAGTCGAGGATCAAACGCAACTAGGGATTAGATACGGTCATCAGCTGCAAAAAATTATTCTACGGGAGGTCGTTAAGGTCAACCCCTGCAGAGTTATAATTTATTTTGTTTTTTTTTTATGAGAAAATTTCCTTTTTTTACTAATTCTTATTAAAATTCGAAAAACTCTACATTCTGTATCTTTTTTATAATTTTCACTAGATTGGTACTGATAAGTCCTTGCGTTAGACAGGAAATGTAAATTTTTTTCGAATTTTAATAAGAGTTAGTAAAAAAAAGTCAATCTTCTCATAAAAACACAAAATAAATTATAACTCTGCAGGAGTTGACCTGAAGAACCTCCCGTAGAACAATTTCTTGCAGCTGATGCCCCCATCTAACCCCTAGTTGCATTTGATCCACGACTTTTTGGACAACCTGTATACTTCCTTAGTAAAATTTAAGTACTCTTGGGATAGCTACAGTTTAAAGTTATGTATTTTGCTTCATATAATTTAGACTTATGTGGTCATAGTTTTTGATTTCAATTTGTATTTAATCATGTTAATAAATAAGTAAATTTAATTAAATATGCACAGCTGTTTACCAGCTCAAAAAGTAGTTTTTGACATAATATGCCATACACAGTTTAAAGACCTTATAGTTGGGAAACAAATGTACTTGTGTAGAGCAACCCAAAATGTGCCAAATTGCTTAATTGGCATTGATGTAATGACCCATTTGGTACTGTATTGTCTCATCGTACTGGTTTCTTTGAGCCACTGCATAGACAGCCCATTACTGCCCTTGTTAATATACTTGCATACATATTTGATGGATTTAACAGAACTGCAGTATTCAGTGAGCTTTGAATATTTTACATAGAAGCGGATTATATGTATGTTTTGCTATGATTGGTTAAATAATAGAATAGAGAACAAAATTTGGGAAAAATGCAAGTTTTAACAATTTTCATAATCATTGCAAATCATTGCCACCATCATATTTGGTGCCACAAATATATTGATTATCCTGAAAGATTGTTGCTAATGGTTGTAAATTTATAGGTAGATGTTCATAGTTGACCATTGAATAACAATCATTGAGGATAATATATTTTGTGTTTTAGTTATTTTACACCAAAGATCCCTTTTGTATATACTATATACCTACCTATAGGCTAAAATTAATTAATGTGTAATATTAACGATGCAACGAAAACGCGGAAATATACATTACTCACATATGTTCAAAGTATTTCATTCCTCTTTTAGTGTCAGTATTTTAAATTATGTGCATGTGTTTCATTTAAATACATATGTTGATGTAAATAAGCTATGTAATGTTGTGTTATTTCGAAATTTATCCACTAAGCCTCTTAATGGTTTTTGAATGTAATTGATTTTTTCGCTTTTGCGTTTTGCACACAATAATTATTTTAAGATAAGATTTTCATATAAGCAGTATTAATTTATTATTATCAAATTAAAATTATTTTAGCACAAAAGACAGAAAAACACATCTAATTTTCTTACTATGTACTGTGGATGTATTATGTGCTTGATATGCTATTTATGTACATGTTTGATACATTTACAAGCAATAAAGTAAGGAATGAAAATATCAGTTTTAGGTCCCATGATGTAATAAGAATTGTGAAATGTGTCAAATTTATATATAAATTTATAAATATTAGATTTAACTCTTTCTATACAGTCAATGACGCAGAGAACAATGTTCATCTGGGGACATAAGACAAATATTTTTTTTACAATGATGTCAATTTAGATTGTTAAAATGGTTTTGAACAAACTTAATGTCTTAAAGTTGTATATTCCTTAACATGTTTTAATCTGTTATAATTAACTATTGAATTCTTGTAGTCCTTGATAACTTGACTTTGATTGGTAACAAAAATTGCTCATACACCACCTTATCTTGTCAATGTACCTCTAGTTCATACTTTCATACTTGAATGGCTAGTGCAATAATATCACTTGAATAAAATATTGTAATCAGGAATGACTTTTATTTATCAAGTCCTATTTTATATATGGTTTTAATTTCTTTATATTTTTTTTGCATCTAAGTTATTTTGAACCGTTTTGTGGGGGTGTATGGGCAATTGCGTACCTCATCATAAATTAATATAATGCAAATAAACTTCTTTCATAATTTCAAAGTAAACTAAACTATCACATATAATTAAGAGTATCTTAAACATGTTTCAGGTATAATAACTTCAACTAATATATTCCCACAAACGATTGTCAAATTTCTGTAATTTTTTTTTAGTTTAATATTTATACATTTATAATTATTTATATACAAGTATATTACATAATGATTTAATATTATTTTCTTTATTATATCAAGTAAAAAGTGTTAAGTATTTTCCAATTTATTAATAATTTGTTTTGAAAGAAATTTTAGAAAGAAAATTCATTTTTTCTTATTAAATAAACTAATTGTGAGTTAAAATAAAAAGAAAGAATCAAATTAGCAGGTTTCAGTCGAAACTGTTTTCAAGCAAGTTGTACAGTAACAACAAATCTAGCATTTTAATTTTAGGAAGGTAATGAGGAGGGTCAAACAAAACGTCAAACTCTAGTAAATGGGGAAGATAATGTTGCTGAAGCAGCTAGCCACAAGGAGGCCATTCCTTCTAAACCTGAAGATATACACGAAAATAATACTAAAACTGATATAGTTAATTCTGCTCATGAAGGCTTGCAAGGCAATAAATTCGTTTTAACTCCAGACTATATACAGCAGAGTAAGTAAAGAAACTTAATTATCATAAATTAATTTATGTATGTATCAAATATACAGTAACATTAGTGTATTTTGATATTTCCAATACAATTGATGCACCCTTTCTTCTTTATCAGTATTTTAATCCATTGTTAGATATTGATCTTTTTATATAATAAGGGTGACAAATGAGCGTACAATCCACCTGATGGTGAGTGAATGCTGTGACCCATACATATCTACATCTATCCTTTATAAAGAATCCCTTATTAAGGGTGCATAATGATGTTGGACGAGCTGGTCGCTAAGGATAGAGCTGATATTGCTGAGATTTTAATATTAAAACATAACATGATATAATTCTCCCAACATGATATACTCACTTAGTAGATATTAGGACTGGAAAATGCTTCAAAGTTAACATGTGCACTTTACCAGAACATAAAATCAGATGTGTACTAAATTTAAGGTGCAATTGGCAACTTTACACGTAATTGCTCAAATTATCCAAGTGGCCATTTATTTTGTTAATTTTTACATATTCTCAAGTTTTACATTTTCGTTTAATTTTTTTACATTTACTGTTATCCGTTTTCTTGAAACGGATTAGTAGCACTAAAATATTGAATCTTGACTTCCCATAACTTAAATTTAAATTTAAATCTTCGTAACAGCCTTGCTTTTTTTTTGCATATATGCGATTTTAAATTATTTACAATCTTAACTACCTTAATGTAAACTGAAATAATATAACAATTCACCTTTATATCACAGGTATATTGAGGCAATTATGTAATTAACTTTTGTATTTATACAAATATAGACTTTTAATGTTAAGGTTAATACCATAGATTTAATCATAGTTTGAAATAAACAGAGCTGATGTGACATCATAAAATAAATGAAAACTTGGTCATTACTATTGTGATAAGTCATCTCGTAATAGTCAATTTGTATGTATATGTATATTAACCAAGTATATCTTTATATATAAAAATTACGTGTCACGTCACGTCACGAAGGGTGGTTGGAAAGGACAGAACAACGTTTGCCTGGCCAGCTAGTATTATTATAAATTAATTACAAAAATAAATAATTTCTGAGCTCCATCGATGCTACCATTTCTGAGGAGTTTTCTTATGAATGATCATATTGTGAAATTTAGCCAGCAATTTTTTCAGACCAATACGACTGAGGGAACTGCAATGCACCTGCAATTCCTCCAGTCTTTTGGTGTGTGGCTGAGATGAACAATATATACGTTTCTAATCATGGGTGGAAAGAAACCTTTTATCCACACTGGCCACAAAGTGAAGAAAAAGAGTTTGCTAAAATCATGTTCGAAATGTTCATTCAAACTAATATTACTGTAACACATAACAGGTCTGATTTGATATTATCTTGATAAAACTACGTAATAAAACATTATAATATATATAACTGTACCATCTGCACTGTAACAGATTACAATATCATCATCATCATTACAACCGTTCATAGGTCCATAGCTAAACAAAGGCCTCCCCCAAAGAATGTGACAAATCACGATCCTTAGCCACCAGCACTCTTATTTCCTGCATGTTTTACCAGGTCGTCACTCCATATAGTAGAGGGCTACAATACACTACGCTTACCGGTACTAGGTTTTGGCTCGTGAACCTTTCTTTCCCGTCGGTTGTCGGTTCCTCGAACTTTATGCCGGCCAATTATCATGTAGCATAACCCTCTCCATAGCTCGCTGAGCGACCTTGAGCTTTCTCATGAGGCCAGATTACAATCTTGGACCCAAGAAAATTAATAAATTAAGAAAGTATCACCTGGAATACACAAACGAACAATTTTCCCATAGTAATAGGTGAAACAGTAGTGGTGGTTGCACCATTAAGAAATAAAATAAGAATGTAAATTTTTACATTACAAAATTTTTACATCAGCATCCTTCAAAACTAGCAGCTATTCACACATCAACCATACTCACCAAAGTACTTGGAGATACTGTATTTGTTTATAACCAACAAGATCATCTATACATAAAAAACCTAATAATCATAAATCATGCATTGATCCCTAAGCACAATATATTCATTAAATACCACAGACGCAAAATATTATACTAAAAAGCTATAATCAACACCACATATAAATCCTAGAACGATTATCTGGTGCACAGACATAACTCATACTTTGAATACACAACAGTCACAAAATTTTCAATTTATTTAAAATATGATACTAAACATTTTTGCTGTGGGCAATGGGACGGGGTATTTATTCGAATCGTTGTAAGTCGCGAAAATTAAACCATATATAATTCTTATAGTAAGATATTTGAATATTCCAGCGATAAAAAGTGCACTGAAGCAGGAAAACCTGAACCCGGAGATTGAGGAGAAACTGCTCCAGCTGCAGCGGTACCAGGAGAAGCAAATGAAACCGGAAGTGCAGCCAGAGCGCGAGGTACGCGCGGTGGTGGCGGCCGCGCACTCGCCCTCGCCCCCGCGGCGCCGCGCCACCTCGCGCCACGACGACGACGACGAGTGGCTGGAGAGCAGCAGCAGCCCCCGCAAGCGCGCCCGCCCACCGCGCGCGCTCTCCCCCTCCCCCTGCCCCTCCGCGTCCGCGTCGCCGTGCCCCGCGCCGCGGGCCGCCCCGCTCGCCGCCGCCGCCGCCCCCGCCCCGGCCGCCGCCCCCGCCACCGACGCCCCCACCGCCGCCGCCACCGCCGCCGCCGTCACCCCCGCCGCCACGCTCGAGGACCGTCGGCGCGCCGCCTCCAACCACTCGCGGCTGCAAATGCTTCTTTTCAAGCACAAGGAGATGCTGAAAAAGGACATCATCAAAAAACGTGGACTGCTGGAGAAGGAGCTCGGGGTTGAAATACAGGTTGGATCTTAATAATAATAATTGATAAAAAAGGGTAATTTTTCCAATTCATGATAAAAAAGCAATTTTAAATCCTGACAGATGGATGGGAAAACCACATATTTTACATTAATAAAATAACTAATATATCCTTCTAAAAACTATTTCTTACTATTATTTCATACTAGCTGTAGCGGGCGAAGTCGTGGGGGACTTCGCCCGCGTAGAATTTATTACGATTGGATTTCATGGGTTTTTAATAACTTTTTGCGTGAAACCCTAATCCTTTTTCTAAAATAAAGGTAGCCTAAATTACTCCGTATAACATCAGCTATCTGCCAATGTAAGTTCCGTCAAAATAGGTCCAGCCATTTCGGAGATTAGTCGGAACAACAAAAATATTAAAAATTGGTTTTTGTTATAAATACAATATATATATATATACAGAATGGGGTCCCACATATATGCAATAAATTAAACCACAAGTAATACTAGTCCATAGAAGTGTAGAAAAATTAAATATTAAATTAAAACCCGTAAAATAAAAAAGTGAAATTTTCAAACAAAATAAATATTAAAATAAATTCAGTAAAAGTAAACACTCTGTTTAGACAACGTACCTTGACCCCTTGGAAGAGTGACAACGTTGCACGCGGGTGGCATGGCGGTTGGCGGCAGGCAGCGTTATTGTTTGTCGGCACGGCCTATGGTTCGTTGGACAATGTGCGACGAAATAAAAACTTACTCACTAAACTGTTTAGGTATTTTACCGCCACTTTTTTATTTCGCGAAAATGGAACTGAACGAAATAAATATTATTGCATATTAGTAGCAAAATTTAATGAAACCCTATATTTTAAAATTTTCAAAATCGTTCTTGAATGCACAAGTTACATCGCCGCATAATGTTGTCCTGAAGCTTGCTCAAAAAATTTCGTTCAGGATCCAGAGCCAGGGCTTTTAATTTGTTAAAGGCGGCAACAATACGATTGCGCAGTTCATCTTCGGTTTCGAAAATCTTTGAGTACACTTCATTTTTAATAAAGCCACATAAAAAGAAGTCTAGAGGAGTGAGGTCAAAAAAAGTAAAGTAGTTTCAATATCACAGTAAAAAATTAACGTACTTAAAACACTATTACACACACAAAGTCAATCAACTAATGTCTATTTCACCGTAAAATAATTGTTTGACTAATTGTATTTATCTTACGATAATACGATAATTATCTTACGATAAATAATTACGATGCGCGTAGGCAGCGAAACGCACCTGTATCCTGGAACAATTGCGCGTGAACTGGAAGCTAAACTTCCAAATTCCAAAATGGCGAAAATAATAAAAGTAATAAATAGGGCGGCCACAAGGTGCAATAATCGTTTATCGATACTTTTCTTTTTACGCTTACTTACTTACTACATTTGAATACAAGTAATTTTGATTTTTGATTTCATAACAATCGACAAGTTATTGATTGTTAAAAAAAAAGTTTATTTTTGTACAATTGAACTTACGAAACTACCGATTTGTGACTTCCTGGGAAACGGTTAAGTATGTATGACTTTTTAATTGGTTGTTTTTATGGGTTTTTTATCATGTTAAAATAATTTATTATCTCTAAATCTACAAGAACACACTTAAACAAAAAAAGCTTTAAAGCTTAGCTTTAATACTTAGGTCGTAGTATTTTTAGGATTATCATAACAACACGATAATTCTAAAAAAACTATACCCAAAGTGTTTAAAGCTAAACATTTTTTTTTTTGTTTATCGTTTATTACTTACTCCCTTTGAAAGAAGCTAATCGTCGATAACAGGTGTCCTACTCTATGACAAAGGCGCGCGCGCCGTTGCGCCGTCGCCTTTGAAGTACGCCGCGTGCCTCGTGCCGCTTGTTTATGCACGCCGACAAAAGACACCGCTGTCGATACGTCGCAATACCAATAGTTTGCACTGCGTGGCAACGTCGCTTTCTAATATTCAAGGATTCAAGTTCATTGAATCATTGACTTAGTGACCCAATTCTATAGAGGGTTCAAATTTGCTTAAAATTAAAACTCTACTTTTTGACCTAATTACTGGGCCGATTATGTTCATTTTTTGTACATCGTCAGCAAAGGCGATAACAAGTATGTGGTTTCATTTATTGCATATATGTGGGACCCCATTCTGTATATATATATATATATATATACTTTCACTAGCTGTTCCCCGCGGTAAGAAGTTACTGATTGATTTATAGTACTTCAGTATAGACAATATTTTTAGTAACCTTTTCATTTGGAATTAAAATATTATGGCTTTTACCACATCCTGTTCTAGATAAGCCAACATATAACTGCTCTCGGGAAAAACAGCATTCACTTAAATCTTAAATTGTATTCTTTCAAAAGTAAATAGTAAATTTCTAGGTATTATAAGAATTCGAAATATTAGTACCGTTTGGCCAACTGCTGGCCCAGTCAAAACTTATAGCCAACTATAATATTATTTGTAAGAAATTTAACTTGAAGCCTAGTTCCGTTACATATGGACTTGGTGACCGCAGGTTTCGAAATAAAATAATGGGAGTGCCACTTTTTAAGTTCAATGAATATGGGAGCAGCCCACAAGGATTTATAGAATTTAAAAATTCTTGAGAGTAATGTACCGCGTCTTCTTGATCCATGACAGTATCAATGAAAGGTAGTTTATGTTGTCGCCTGGTAGTTTGGCAGCTAAAATTGCCCTTTCAGATATCCATTAATATTTTTTTTTGTTTATATTAGTGACATACGGGTATACTTTAGAGATTAGGTCTTCAATGATGGTTACGATTTCACCAAGGTCTTTATCAATGGTTATTTATTCTCGGTTACTCGGGTACTTTCCCATTACCAATCAATAATAGCTTTTTTGGGAAATCTGTGTTTCCTCCACCCAAGTAACTCCTCATGTTGGTATACAGCTTCAAGAATTCAGCAGATTTCCACAAAGGGGAAAATTTTAAGCAAGATTAAATAATACCTGCTCTAGTTCCCCTAACTATTAGAGGCAAAGTTAGTCTGAACTCGCCAGAAAACTAATTCCACCCATAACTTTATTTGTGCTCATGTCTTTGAGAGTTCTGTCTAATGCCTCTACGTGAGCTCTATGAGACATGGTGCACTCATCCCATATTATTAGGCTGGCATCTTGCAAGATTATACCCAATGAGCCATTTTTACAGATAGAACACACACTGTCTCGTTCAAGTGACACAGTAAGGGGTAACTTAAAGGTAGAATGAGCCGTACTCCCGTCTGTTAACAATGTAGCAGCAATACCTGACGACGCAACGGCAATAGCAATTTTTTCTTGTGACCTAAGCGTTCATTGGCGCTCCAAGCAGAGTGTTCATTATATCCCTTAAACTATGCGTCCAAATGACCTGCTATGAAAAGCAAAGTTTATCTTCATAAAATTGCCTTGATGATGAAGTAACTTTCGTTCGTAAGGATTAATATGACATGCCTAATAATAACGCTCATAAATCACTTTAATTTTCAATAATGTTTTGTCACAAAATACCTTATTGTGGCTTATGTATAAGAAATAGGTATATGGTATCACGGACTTTTTTTAGATGGAGTAAAGACGAACATTTTTGTAGACATTGTATTTATGTATTACTAAACATTACGCCAGCGCACGCGGTTAAAGCAGTTAGAGAGCGCTTTTTCTTCCGACTTGCTTAACAAAAATCCATATTTAAGGGTAGCTGAGAGTTATAGGCTAGGGCTAGATAGTCTATACTATTCGTCATAAATTTGGCTATTATATACAAAAAGAATTTTTCAAATCGGTCTGGTAGTTCCAGAGATTAGCGCGTTTAAACAAACAAAAAATCACCAACAATTTATACATTGTTATATAGATAAAAAATTATACTAGGCTTAGTGCTTAATTAATTATTAAGGCATAATTGATTTAACCCTTTTAAGTGATTGCACTTAAAAAGGTAATCACAGCATGCTCAAGCAAGGTTAAAAATTACAATCCCGTAAAATAAAAAATCCTGGCTTATGCACAGTCTGCACACGGCTGCTTTAGAGTGACTAAATTTAACCTTTCATAATAATAATTCAAAATGTTGTATTTACTATAATTTAAAGTGCGGTGTAATATTGAAAAAAAAATGTCAAAACAAGGATGGAATATCTTATGCCAAATGACAAAGATTACTGTTAGCCTTTTGGAGACAGCGTAAGAAAACTATCATCTATTACTATCTTCCTATTTCTTCCCGGATTCTACAGTGAATGTTGTAGAAGCGACTTACTTTGAAAAATGTCCAAAATAGCTCATGACATCCGATAGATATCGGCATAGCCATACTAGATGGCGTAAACTCTTACGCCAGACGAAAAATACCTAGATCGGTGACGATGAGCCGCGCCACAGGTGCAAAACGTCGGTCTAATGCGATCGCCAATCCGCCTGCCGATCATGGTGAATAAGGCAAATCCTGGAGTAAATAGAGTTCAATAAGAACAACATCCGCAGCGTAAGATGATCGACGTTAATAAACACTATCTCATATCATCCCGTGGATCTCGAAAGAGGCGGCGGGTGGAAAGTGAAACTAAAGATCTTTCTCAGCATCATCTTTTTAATAACCTGCAGCATCTTGCTAATAACTACTCAAAATAATTAAATACTGCGGTTGCCGACCCGCCCGCCATGCGTGGCAACTATGACAAATATTTTGATAGGCTGTAATGATGATAATGACGAACAATACCATCCATATTTAGATGCAGTGTATATCTGTCATTTTAGTTCAGAGCTGACGGCATTATAAGTGTTAAACAATGGAATGCTATGGAAATATACAGAAGGAGTTGTCGGCGGAGCTGGCGCTGCGGACGCGCGCGGAGCGCAGCAAGCAGGAGGAGGTGCGCGGCGGCAAGCGGCGCACCGCCTCGCACTCTGCGCGGGACGCACGTGACGCACGCGACGCACGTGACGCACGAGACGCGCGTGACATACGTGACGCACGCGACGCACGTGACGCACGAGACACGCCGCACCGCAACAACAAGAAGCCCACCAAAAAAGAGAAGCTGCTCTGCATCTGTCGCACGCCCTACGATAACACCAAGTAAGTTTTTATGCGTATATGAATATGCATAGCAAATGTGTTTCGCGACTCCTATAATATAAATTGCATATAATAAATATAAATTACATAATTGTGCGTTTTCAACCCGTACGTGCGTACACGCATCTGCACCCGTACACATACACCTCCAGACTTGGAACATATAATTTTTATAAACCAAACACTTATCCCGTGCTTGAGTAGAACCTGTGCTCAGGCTCCTCCAAATGCTTACCCACTGCGCTATCATGCCATCCTTACCATGGGAAGCGCTCTGAAGAATTGTTTGGATTTCTTCTTGGAAAACTTCACCATTGTACACTGGTACAACTAATGACCCACATGCTGCCCTACCTTCCTATAAAAAAATACAGTTCCCATTGATATAATGTCATATGCAGTATTTGAGTCACGGTCTTTGTTACTTTTCTATAATAACGCAACCACCAATCTATACGACATAGTTTTAATCAGGTCAAATTATGGGATTTTACAAGCTTCCTGGTAACTGTTTTTTTTTCATCATCCCGAAAAATTATACTGCTGTACGTAGGCCTCTTCTGTTGTAGGGAAGATTTGCTTTAGTCGTCACACGTTGCAGTCGAATTGACGATCGCAATTTACGCTGGTATTATTTGTAAGCGTGGTCCTACTACGGTCGAGCCGACCCATTCGTGCTGCATAATGTAGCTGCAGCGTAGCTCTACTACGTAACACACATGTACACTTCATATACTGAAGTTCTCATCGTAATCTAAGGCATCTTTATTTCTATTTTTGAGCAATCTTAAGATTTTTAGTAATAAAATTATGCATTTTAAACAGGGTGATAACTAATCAACTGAATTATTATGTGGGAGTGTAGGTGTAGCCGGTGGATGGAAAAGGGGAGATCTCCCGCCGGGTAAGTGTTCGGTCCGGGAAGTGACTAACGCTCCGAGTGGTAATTCGAAGCTATTCTATGTATACTGCTTTTACTTCGGAACTTTGATATTGCGATTAAGGCTTCGATATATTTTCGTTTGTGGCGCGACGACAGCGCTGCCACATCACCCCTCTGCTCAGACCATAGGTCGATAGTGCAGTCTAGATGTCGACAAATGTGGAAGTGCCAGGGAGTTGCCTTTTAGTCTGAAGTGAGTCGAGAAGAAGGCAACTAATCTGCGAGAGTGCCATGAAGCAGAGACGAGCAGTAAGGCTCAGAGCCGTATCAAACACTAGAACAGAGAGTAGCTTGAAGGAACAGGGAGCATTATTATTCCAGTGCTGTAATGAACCCTGTGAAGCTAGATGGCTTGCGGAATGTGAAGACTGCTGACAATATCTGCTCGGGAGCGAATGGTGTACTTTGAAGACAATGACGAAGGCTTGGAGTTGTAGTTTTCGAAGGTTGTTGGTTGCGTTTTCAAATGACGTCTGGTGGTCACCACTGTAACTGGTGGATGGAAAAGGGGAGATCTCCCGCCTGGCAGTGTTGGGCCCGCTCCGAGTAGTAATTCGGAGCTATTCTATATACAGGGTCATTTTTAATTTACTGAAGACCTTTTGGGAATATATTGGTTACATCATTACAAACAATTTTAGTGAGATCACTCTTCACAGAATATAATACATTTACGAAAAAACTACTTTTAAGGTTTTGTTGTCATGTCTGACTCCTTTTAAGTCTGTATTTTGTAGTACCTAAACAATGTCAGAATAAATCGTCAAAGAAAATGCCTAAATAAGGCATTTTTACACTTGATACAGTATCAAACATTGTGTTGAAATCATTAACCATAATTAAATGAGCAAATGACATTCAAAAAAAAAACAAATATTAAAATTTATAATAAGTAAGAATGACCGCCGGGCTGGTCGACGCCCGCGCTCAGCTGATTGCGTTGCGAGTAGGGTTACCAGATGAAAAAATTAAAAGTCCGGAGAAGAGGCCTGATTTCCATTTAAAAATCCTGAGATTGTTTTACAGTTTGAGAAGAAAACCTTACTTAAAAAGGTATTTTCACATATTAAGTATGATAAAACGGTTTAAGTACCTACTTGGATAAATAAGTTTTGATTTTAATTGTGGAATTATTACCAAAGGAAAATTATTTTTAGTTTGTTTAACTTTTTATTAAGAGATCTTTTAAAATGTAAGCTGTATTATATTGAAAGTTCTAAAAATCCTGAGATTTCATGAGATTTGCAAAGTCCAGCCGCAATCCTGAGAAGTCTAAAAATCCTGAAATCTCAGGACAAATCCTGAGATATGGTAACCCTAGTTGCGAGAGCCTACTAAACCATTCATCACTGTGCCTATTGCACCAGGGCGCCACTTTAAATGACTTTACATTAACTTTTCATATACTTCTTTATTTTGCATAAAACCATTTGATGAACTATTTGATTCTTTTATTAATTTCTTTAAGAATTAATAGACATTCTTTAATAGACATTTAGGTAGTTTTTTTACGAATACTGTTTGCTAGCAACTCTGCCTGCATCCAAGAGGCAACGCCTCAACGTCGCACATGCGGTGGCCCAAGGCCAGGCCAACGATATATTATAACGTCGACACAGGTGTCACCGTCATCAAAGGCGCCGCCTGCCCTTTTCGGTATTCAGGCATCGATTTGGTGATCGATGTTTGCAGCACGTGCAAATTAAATGAGTATTATTAACTATTTTTTTATTTAATGTAAGTTGTATTTAATAAATGAATGCAGGTTAAAATAATTACAAATATTACAATACATTTTTTATAATGATTAAATACAAATTAACAGTAATTGAATAAAGATATTAAGGTATAATGGTTCAATAAAAATATTAAAATACAAATTTAAAAATTAGACTTACCTAGGTACTTGTCCGTGGATGGCGGTGTGTATCGCGCACATAGCGTTCAAAATAATCACCTCCACATTCTATGCATAGGTGACACCTAAAACTTAACTGTTCACCGACACGAGATAATACTTGATGATTCATTTTGATTTGATCGAATACCCAAATTATTTTTTCTTTCAATATGTCGCGGGTTTCGAATGCTCGACCAGTATACACTAATGTCTTTACATGCCCCCACAAATAAAAATCCATTGTTGTGATATCTGGCGATCTGGGAGGCTATGCACAAGGCCCGTCTCGACCGACCCAGCGACCAGGGTATTCTCTGTTTAAATAATCCTTAACTTGGCGAGCATAGTGTGCCGGCGCCCCGTCAAGTTGGTAATACATATTGCGTAGAGATGCAAGTGGTATGTTCTCTAACAACTCTGGCAGCGTGTCGGTGAGAAAACTATGATAGCTTTCACCGTTTAATCTTTCTATGAAGACCGGGCCCAGTAACGTTGTATTAATGACGCCTGCGTTGAAAGCTATGCGGTCTTGGTTCATGTGGATTTTCATAGCACCACAAGTGTTCATTGTGCGAATTGAATAGTCCTATTCTGCCAAATGTTGCTTCATCAGTCCATAAAATGTTGGCTCGTTCAGCAGCTAGTAACCAGTTACAAAATGTAACTCGCGCTAGTTTGTCAGCTTCGCTGAGTTCATGAACACGATGCAAGTGGAAAGGGTACTTCCCTTCATTGTGTATGACACTCCATGCGTAGTACTGCGACACATTGAACTGTCGGGCTGCCTCATAAGTGCTCGCTGCTGAATTTTGTTCAAAAAACTGCAGTATGTCTTCCTGCTCACGTACTGTGCGCCGCGGTGGACGACCACGATCGATTGATACAGGCTGGAATTGCCCGTAATCTCGCAATCGCTGTGTTGTACCTAGCATCGTAGCGTAGCTCGGTGCACGTGAGTTGGGAAATCGCCTTGAATATTCACGGTAGGCTTCACTAATGTTATCATTGCAAATTGCTAAAATTCGCACCATTTCGGTATACTCAATATTTGAGTATCGGTATGCCATTGTAACAACGCGTAACGTTCGCGATATTAATCTCACAACGGAAGGAGAAAAGTCGCGGGCGCACAAAAGGCGACTGACCGACTGACGACACAGATAATTAGGTCAAGTTCAAATGAGCAAGCGCCGCCTCCTACACCCCTCCACCCCTACCCCGCCACGCGCATTATTTTGCTATTTAGGACTATTGCCGTTTAGAAGGTCCAATTAAAATATTTTATTTTTGTATGAAAATAAAAATTGAAGAAATATAATTTCTTTTCTTACAGATGTTGTTGTTATGATGTAAATAATATATTCCCAAAAGGTCTTCAGTAAATTAAAAATTACCCTGTATACTGCTTTTACTTCGGAACTTTGATAGCGCGATTTAGGCTTCGATGTATTTTCTCTTGTGGCGCGACACACGTGTGGTAATTTTCGTCTACTTACAAATTTAAAAAAAAATGTATTTCAGATTTTATGTGGGCTGCGAACATTGTAGCAACTGGTTCCACGGTGATTGTGTTGGAGTGACTGAGGAAATGAGCAAGTCAATAGAGGAGTACATTTGCCAGGATTGCCGACGTGCCGCAGAAACTCAGGAACTCTATTGTCTGTGCCGGCAACCATACGACAACTCTCAGTAAGTTGCTGTTTTTATAAACATGTTCCTGTAAAATTATGAGGAAGAAAGATTCCTGTAAGCAGTGTAGGGTGGTCCTCCACTAGATGGAGTGACGACGTGAGATGCAGGAAGCCGATGGATGAAGGTGACTCAGGATCGTGTATTGTAACATTCCATAGGGGAGGCAATTTTCAGCAATGGATATCGGCTGTAATGGTGCAAATATTATTTACTAATGAAATGGAATAGCATATAAATATGTCATAAGTGTGATCAATACACAAAATTAATGAACCAATTATTAATTAAAATATTAATGAAATAATCAATGAAGGTTTTGAACTGCATATGGGTTTGTAATTAAAGTATAATTTGGCCTCCTTGAAATGAAATTATATTGAAGAAGCTTTTACAGTAAAAATTATGTAAGCATTGTGCAATATTTAGATTACTAACCATGAAATATTAAAGCTTAAAGTTCCTTTAGCAAACATTTACAGCAAATGGTCTCATTTCAGGTTCTACATATGTTGTGATAGATGCCAAGATTGGTTCCATGGTCGATGTGTTGGTATCCTGCAGTCAGAAGCAGATAATATTGATGAATATGTTTGTCCCAATTGTCAGAAAAACAATTCTGTAAATTACGCAAATATGAAAGAACTCACTGCAAAAGACTTTGAAAACTTAAAGAGGCTTGTTAAACAAATACAATTACATAAAAATGCTTGGCCATTTATGGAGCCGGTAGACCCAAGAGAAGCACCAACATATTACAAAGTAATAAAGGAGCCAATGGGTAAGTATTAAAAGCATATTAAATGACTTGCCATGAACCACTGTAAAGTTAGCTGCGGATTAGGTTTCCGTATGGTATAGTCGCATTTAAAACAATATATATTGTTAAAACTGGTTGAAAAAGGATTAGGTTACTAAATTAGCAAAGGCTCGTACCGCCCCTGGTTCTGTTGATGCCTTTCGCGATACAGCATAATATATATTCAAACAAGAAGTTCAGGCACAGCCTAAACAATAGGGGTTTAAGTTTGCAGTTGTCATTTTAATGTAGCAACAGAAACAGAAACTTTTTTATTCAATATAGATTATAAATAATACTTATTGAAAGTCACTTTTTTGTTTAATTACCACTGGTTCGAAAAAAAAACCTCTGTCCTGGGAAGAACCAGCAAGAAACCCAGCGGGACTTTTTTTTTAAATAACAGCTTACAATAATGTTTATTACACAATTAACAACACAAAAAATTAGAAAAAGCTTGGTAGCGATCACCTTTCCAGGGGTTATTATCAGCCATAAATTCCTTAATATTATAATAACCCTTTTTATACAAACTTAGTTTAATGAAGTTTTTGAACTTTGAGCAGGTCAAATATTGTATATTTATAGTAGTTTTGTAGTAGCCACTTTAGATTATAATTAAACCTGCATCTACCAAGATTCATAATAAAACTTTTTAATTAAAATTTTAAATGAAAAGAATATTCTATTGTTTGAATTTCAATTATTTTTACATTCAGTATTTGATTTAAACATGGATACCTTAAATTTTAATTTTCGTATACGAATTCCCGGTGTGGTTCTTACGCAGGAGTAACAGCTCGCAATATCAATGCTCCGTTTGGATATAATACGACTAAAGAACGTACTATGCGTTTGGTTTAATCGCTTTCCTAGTGAAAACAACCATGAGAAAGATTAGACAATAAGGTAAATAAATAATGGCGAATTAAAAGAATCGGTGCAAGCCGATCTTTCCCAAAAAACCACTTAGCATAATGGTTAGACGTTAGTTTACCCACAATATTGACCTCATTTGCAACAAATTGGTAAAATAAAAAAAAAACTGAAATGGGTGACCCCATGAAAAAAGACGTTTCATTTTTTTTTAATATAAAACGGCGATTTCATACTTTAACCCCTAATATCATATTCCACTCTTAGATACAGACTTCCCATTATTTCAAAGCAAGTAAGAAGCATAGCATCGAGCAAAGCATTGAGGTAGCGCGTTCACCGCGCTACCTATTTTAATTTACTAGACATTAAAATTTCTTCACGAGGTTTTCTTATGCCCGCCGAGGTCTTTGTAAACTAGCACCTAAAATTTCTATTAATATTTTCTGTTATACTGGTGGGGATCGAACTCGGTTGCTCGCATATTATGAAGGTTTTGTGACTAATGTCAAATATATTTATTAATTCTATTCTACTAGTGGCATTGTAAGTGTAATGGAAATAAGTGAAATATTTTTATCTTCAATGTTTTGCAATGTAAAATGCAGTGCAATGCAATGTCAAATAATGGAGAATGGGATTTTTGGGCCTGAAGTTAACTATTTGGTTTATACTTTAAAAAATTTGCTATATTTTTCTAAAGTTAAATCCAAAAAACTAGTTACTTTTACAATCTAGATTTCGAAAAAACAATAAAATAAGAAATAAGTTAGAAAATCTATTGTATTGATGCAATCGATTTTATATTTATTCGTATCCAAAAATTTAAATAAGCTTCTAAGGTTTCATTAAAATTCTATTATAATTTTGCTTTATTACTTTTAATGATATATTAATTTGGAAATAAAACAAATTATTCACATAAAGAAAAATAAAATATACATTTTATGGCAATAAATCGATTACCATAAAGAATACATTCTACCACTCTTTCTCTCTCTTTAGTTTCTGAACGCTACTAATACTTCTTTTTAGTTTGTGCTACCTACCAATAAAGGACTTCTCACTTTGGAACTTGACTTGACTGTTCAATCTTCAAAACTATTCACTTAAAGACCGATTTTCTATTTGATTTGAAACGAGCGCAATATAATCGATTCTCGATTAAATTCAGTATTTAATATCTATTTTCGATTATTTTTCTGTGTTAACTAGGGAGATAAAAATATGTTCACACATGATATCTACAAAAGAATAATAAAAAATACGAAATATCAACATGCCAACAAATAACAGTAACAGCAACAATTCAAGTAATCGATCTCAGATCGACATGCCTCATATTTACTTCAATTAGTTATTGTTGTTTTAACTTCCGTTAATCGTTTCACCATTTTGTTTCCTAAATAATCACAACTTTTCTTTGGTGATTTTGTACTGATTACTGCTTTTATAACTTTAAGTAATTATAGTGAAAAATAACCTGTTACAGTGTAATAACAGTGAAAAATCGCCTAGTACAGTATAGGTAACACGTAAATCACTTTTACTCATTCTATAATATCTCAGATCCTAGATTGACAAATCTTGCCATATTGTCAGGTATGAATTGTTTATATATATGCTTTCAAATGGTCCCACTTTCATCTTGTTAACATCTGGGCCCAAGAATGTATGGAGACGTCTCCTTCTCGTTTGTTTGACAAACGTCATCTATAAAGTTGTAATGAAATAAAATGAAATATACTAACTTCTTTAATGACAAAAACTTAAATTTTTTTTTTTAATAAACTACGTAATTGGATCATTCTATGATAAGTTAATAAAAGGACCTTAAATTTGGAGTTGATCACTAAATTGCAAGCCTGAGCGGAACAGCCCTCACAAGGAGTACCTGTTCACAAGTATGACGCTTGCAGCTTTACTACCTTTTGTTCATTATTTTTTTGTCTTATTAAATTTGCAATTGTTCATTTTTACAGATCTGCAAACAGTGGAGAGAAAAGTGAATGAACAAACTTATAGTACGTTAAGTGAATTTATTGGTGACATGACTAAAATCTTTGATAACTGTCGGTATTTTAATCCAAAGGACTCCGAATTTTACCGATGTGCGGAAAGTTTAGAAGCGTATTTTGCACAAAAAATTAAATATTTTCGGGAAAAACTTTTTGAAACGACGCAATGATAGTAGTGTTGGTGGAAAGTGTTAAAAAAAGATTTTATAATCTGGACAATAAAAGACAATTCAAATGCAAATAAAATATTACATTTACTTATGATCTGTAGCACCTGTAAATTGTAAACAATGTGATGAAATTTACAAAGAATTATAATTTATATAATATGTCGCTGAAGATAACTATTGAGTATGTCAGTTGTGTTTCATGTTAAGTATTTATTGTATTTATTATGTAATGCTTTACATTTTTATCCCACTACAAAGCTGACGCTCTTTAGAAATTAAGGTCTTCACAGAAGAATAATTATTATGTATACAGTTTTGTGAGAAATTATTAAGTTAGCTATTATAACTTAGCATATTTAGTTTCATAGTAGTTCATAGGATAAGAAAACCTTATTATGTGTAAGAAATAAATTTTTAATAATATCATCTTTATAATGCCTTTACACAGTATATAAAACAAAGTCGCTTCACGCCGCCTGTACCCTTAGATCTTTTAAACTACGCAACGGATTTTGATGCGGTTTCCATCAATAGCAAGACGAAGGTTTATTTGTATAATAAATGCATATTATATATTATATAATTCTTCTGTCCATGTGTATGTGACTAAACTTCTAAACGGCTGGACCGATTTTGATGAAATTTTGTGTGTGAAATTAAGTGGATTAGAGAATGGTTTAGATTCACAATCGACAACAACGCCACCTAGAGAGTGGACCAAACCAGAAATCAACGGATCGCTAGTTAATAAGATATGTTGGATTATAAAAATCTAGTTTAAAAAAACGTTGAGTCATTTTTAACATAACTGACAATTTTTAAGCTTTTTTTTTATTCTGAATATACTACAGACTCGTCATAGGATGCTGTAATGTAATAGGTCGGGGAAAAAGTTTCTTCGTATTTTACGACAATCCCGTTGCTGAAGAAATCTTTGATCAAAAATGCGACAAGTAGGTTTGACAGTCCTGCCTTGATGTTAACCTAACATTACCTTTGAAAAGAGGTATTCTATCTTAGTCCTCACGGCTGACAACGCATCTGTAGTTTAATTCGCAAACGAAGGTAGATGTAGATGTCTATGGGCCACAGCCCACAGCAACCACTTACCATCAGCTGGACCCGCTTATAAACATCTACATTTATCCTCAATAAAGAATTAAAATGCAGATGCGTCTTCACCCGTGAGGACTAGAATGAGAGTGAAATGAGATATATCATCCTATAGGCTGTATGTAAATGAATGAATGAAAATAGTAGAGTAAAATTTTATAACCACTTTTTTACAGTAAATGTGTAAAATTTTCGCGTAACACATTTCGTGCAGAAGTAGAAGAAGTATGACAATGACATCCACGAGCCAATATAAAGATGATGATGATGGATCTCTCTTACGTGACATACAATATTCTATAAGTATTATATAAATAATTTATAAAAGTTTTTTTTGAAATAGTCAAATGTAAGTCAATGGAAATAGTCTGGAAGCTTTACACGCTTTTTTAGTGTTCCGTAACCTAAGGATAATCAACGGGACCCTATTACTAAGCCTCCGCTGTCCGTCCGTCTGTCCGTCTGTCTGTCAGCGGGCTTTATTTCATGATCCGTAATAGATAGACAGTTGAAAATTTCACAGAATATGTATTTCTGTTGCCGCTATAACAACAAATTATAAAAATTAAAATAAATGAAAAAATAAAAGTGGTTCCCCTACTAGAAGCGTAAGCGGGTTGTATCTCATGATCCGTAATAGGTAGACAGTGGAAATTTTCACAGAATGTGAATTTCTGTTTTTTTTTTTATAGGAGAGGGGGTAAACTAGCATACGGCTAACCTGATGGTAAGTGATTACCGCTGCCCATGAACAACCGCAACACCAGGGGAATTGCAGATGCATTGCCGGCCTTTTAAAAAGGAGTAGGCTCTTTTCTTGAAGGTCCCTAAGTCGTATCGGTCCGGAAAAATCGCTGGTGGTAAACTATTCCACAAGGAAGTTTTGCGAGGAAGAAAACATCTTCTAAATCGCACAGTGGTGGACCGCCAATCATCAAGATGGTGTGGATGGTATCGGGAGTTCTGCCGCGATGTGCGTTCGTGAAATTTGGCGGCTGGGATTAATCCGAACAATTACTCAGAGCACTCCCCATGGTAAATGCGAAAGAAAATGCAAAGAGATGCAACATCTCTTCGCAGTGCCAATGAGTCGAGCCGATCGGAAAGGACTTGGTCGTCGACGATTCGAGCCGCTCTGCGCTGGATGCGGTCAAGTGGAAGGAGCTGGCACTGGGGAGTCCCAGCCCAGAGATGGGAACTGTATTCCATGTGAGGCCGAACCTGCGCCTTGTAAAGTTGCAGGCGTTGAGCTGGCATGAAATACTGTCCCGCTCTGCTGAGCACACCCAAGCTTTTTTGAGGCCAATTTGGCCTTCTCTTCCAAGTGACCACGTCACTCGATATGTCGACGCCGAGGATTCCGATACTGGCTGAGGCAACAAGGGGAGTACCTTGAAACTGAGGAGATACGACAAAGGGGTTCTTTTTAGCGGTAAACGCGCAAACTTGTGTCTTCTGAGGATTAAACTGGACTAGATTTAGTCGCCCCCAATCCGAGACTTTGTCCAGCAAAGATTCGACTTCAGACACAAATTTGTTCCGGTACTCGGTGACGTTTTCCCGAGAAATATTGGCACGGCTGGTGTATAGAGCATCACCAGTGCTGTCATCCGCATAGCAATGAATGCTACCGGCTTGCAACATATCATTGATATGCAGAAGAAACAGCGTTGGTGATAGCACGCAGCCTTGTGGAACACCAGCGTTAATAGGCTTGTAGTCGGAACATGCACCGTCTACAACGACCTTGATGCTCTGATCTGCAAGAAAGCTGGTGATCAAATTGCATAATTTCTCGGGAAGCCCATAGGAAGGGAGCTTCGAAAGAAGCGCTTTGTGCCAAACCCAATCGAAGGCCTTCGCAATGTCCAAACTAACGGCCAATGCCTCCCCCTTGGACTCTACTGCCTCCGCCTATTTATGAGTTAAGTAGACCAGAAGATCACCAGCTGATCGATCTCGACGAAAACCGTACTGGTGGTCACTAATCAGCTGGTGATCCTCAAGGTACCGCATGAGGTGGCAGTTTATAACGGATTCCATTATTTTGGAGAACAAGGGGGTGATGGCGATAGGCCTGTAGTTGGACGGGTCTGAGCGGTCGCCTTTTTTAGGGATCGGGTGGAAAAAAGCTGTCTTCCATGATTTCGGGACTACGCCTAGGGAGTAGGAGTACCGGAAAAGACGCGTTAGAACCGGTGCCAACTCCGGAGCACACGTCCTCAGCACAATTGGGGGGATTCCGTCAGGCCCACTCGACTTGTGGATGTCAAGGGAGAGGAGTGCTCTACGAACCGAGCGCTGTGAGAACCGCACATCCGGCATTGAGCACTCACACCGCGGGATGGTCGGCGGTGTGTTCCCCCCGTCATCAACAGTCGAGTTGGACGCAAAATGGGAGCCTAAAAGGTCGACTTTCTCTTTTGCGTCTTGGGCCAGTGAGTCGTCCTCCCTGTGCAGAGATGGTAGTGATGGCTTACAGAAATTCCCTTGGACAGCCTTGGCGAGAGACCAGAATGCACGGGTTCCCGAAGGAAGGCGAACTAGTTTCTTGCCAATTCTGCCTATGTGCTCTGACTTTGCCTTGGCAATAACTCTTTTGAAGGACCTGGAGGCGAAGTTGTACTTCTTTTTAAGTATGCTGGTGTTTACATCCCGAGTCGCCGAAGCCGCAGCCCAGGCTTGATAACACTCCTGCTTACTGCGTAAAGCAGTCTTACAGGAGCGACCAAACCAAGGCTGAGATCTGCCTCCGATGGGTGCCACAGATGATGGAATAAATAGTTCCATTCCCTGTAGCACCACATCAGTGATAGAGTCAGCAACAGCGCTGGGATCATCCGGCGAGAAGCAAACCCGCCCCCATGGGTAGGAAGCAAAGAAAGACCGCATTCCGTGCCAATCCGCCGACTTGTAATGCCAAACACGGCGGCAACCTGCAGAACGCAACCGCGAGGGGAGCGTGAGTGGCACCACACTCCGGATCAGACAATGGTCCGAAGAGCCAAGAGGGGCATCGACGGAAACCTGATATCTGTCCGGATGAGAGGTCAGCAGAAGGTCCAACAGGGAAGGTGTATGATCCTCCACATCTGGAATCAGCGTAGGCGAAGTAACCAGTTGTGTCAGACCATATGCCAAGGCAAAGTAATAAACAGATCTCCCCGCATGATCGGTTAAACGTGAACCGAGCCATTCGGCGTGGTGGGCGTTAAAATCGCCAAGGATCACGATCTCTGCGGATGGGACCTGTTGTAGCAAGGAATCTGTAGCTATTTGGACGTGGTCGATGAGTTGGTCTGTTTCGGCATTACCGCTATGGGACCTATAGAGGCACACGTAGACGCGCGGATGGTCGTCGCTGCCTACGCGTAGCCAAAGGATGGACAGGTCCAAACCTCAAGACTGCCGAGGCGTCGAGAACAGATGTCCTCTCTGACTGTAAGTCAGACGCAAACTCCAGCCCGAGGCACAAAGGAGTGCTCCAATTTGTACCCCGGGTAGGAGAGATACAAAGTATCAGCCGGAGAGGACACCTGCGTCTCGGTCAGAAAGAGCAAGGCCGGCTTCGCCGTCTCGAGATTGTAGTGGACGGCGTTTAGGTTCGAGTGAAGTCCCCTGATGTTGCAGAAATTCACGGATAGCGTGGCAGAGGTCGCCTTGGTCTTGTTGCTCAGTTTGCCCCGAGCAGTTAGTGTTGAGCGAAATTTTGCCCCCCCCCCCCCCCCCCCCCCAGAATACGCGGGGCAGCCTGAGCACCCACGCTCAGGAGTGGAATAGCATGGTCGTGGATGCTCAGCGAGGGATTCTCACCAGACACTCACCAGACGAAACGCGGAAGCAGAGCTTCCACTTCACACCGGTATTCTGTGAGGTCGTGGTACTAA